AAAAATACTTCTACGTTTGTATTCGAGCCAAAATATGCATTATTAAACTTTTAAAATAGTATACAGCTATGTCAATTAAGGTTGTCCACGAGCAAAGCGGAAAAGTCGAATACAAGCGCGAAAGGCTGCTGGGAATCGCTTTGAAAATTCATTAATTTGTTAGCAATCCCCAGCAGCCTTTCGCGCTCGTATTCGACTTTTCCGCTTTGCTCGTGGACAACCTTAATTGAAATAGCTATATGTGAATTCACATACATCGTATAAGTGAATTCACGTTTTATTAAAAATAACGTAGCAGTTTAAACCACAACGGCACACTACTATATAGAATGCTCAAGGAATGCAAATTATAGTTGCCTTTGTCTTAGAGTAAAGATGCTAAACATTTTTTGTTCCCAAATGTGAAAAGGCACAAAAGTTTGTTCTTTTCTCTTATGTGTTTATTTCGTTACTCTACGACAGACTATTATGCTAAAACTCGTACAAAATATACTATAAATTTTAATAGATCTTAGAAAGATATATGACTTAGAAACTTGAAACGTTAACGTATTAAAAATGTTTAAATATGACAAAATCTTCGTAGACAAAATCCATAGGGTTACGAGGTTATGATTATGCAATCTGCAAAAATAATGGAGGCTGTGAAAGCATGGCCTATCGATCCTTTTGGGCACTTTTTGCAGTTAATCAGCAATATTTTATTACTTTCAAAGCTATATGCAGTAAAATGCCATTTTTTCCCCAAATTACTGAAGATAAATTTTAAGTATACATAGTGCCAGACAAATATAATGCCAATCCGTCGTATTTAATTTAGACGTGAATTTCAGATTTCAAGGCTATATTTTAGGAATTTATTTGGCAAGCATATATTCGTGGATTTTCGGACTTTTACAGAGTTTACGGACGTTTCGGAGTTTAATAAACCGACTTTTCATCAAATTCCCCACAATTAAAAGATGTACTTGTATATTTGGTAATATTACAATATAGTTAATTGGCTGAGATTGTAAATGAAGAATGGACGCCGGAACTGGGGGGGGGGCAGGAGGGGCAGCCGCCCCCGTTGCCCTTTACCAGGAGGGATAAGGGGGGCAAAGGTACCCTTTCAATTTAAAGGATTGCCTTGGCGAAGAATAGCAATCGCCTGGCGGAGGACCCTCTCACACCCCTATCATCCAATAAATAGCAAATATGATTATAGGTGAAGTTCAACTCCCGATGTTTCGCAAACATCTCTTAGTATATATCAATTCAAAAGTGCCCTTTCACGAAAATCTGCCCCCCCCTTGCTTTCATATCGTTCCGGCGTCCCTGATGAAGATGTCTGTCTTTTTAATTTTATTTTTCCCATGCCTGATGTTTAATAAATCTATTTATGACATATTACAATAATTTTAAAGATTTTGGGCTAGTGATGAGCTAGAAATCTTCGTGGCCTTTTTATTCAGGCCAATAGTTATATTTGTTTGTATTAGATTATATATAATCTATTTTTTACAGTCAATTAATGTAATATGTAAATCTCTTAATTTCTACGTCTATTTTCATTAAATTTGATAAACGAGGTTGACTTGATAACATTGCCTTGCATGAAATTTTGGTGGGAACTTGTGAAGGACAACAGCAATGGATTTATTTAGCGTTTTGAAGCTGACAAGTTTTCAAAATGGTGCAATGAGATAATTTTAAATTGCGCATGCTGGGGTTTTAATTAATAATGCAGGTACTCATCTGGTGTTCTTTTAACAATGAAGTAATATGAAAATATTGCAATAATTCAGGATCAACGCTATATTATTGCAGTGATGCAATTAGATGGATTTGGTCAAAATCTCTTTTGTTTTCTTTTTTAAACATTTTTCTCTCTTTTTTAATTCTATTTTTCTCAGGTATAATAAATTTATTTATGATATATTAAAGATTTTGGGCTAGCGACCAACTAGAATCTTCGTAGACTTTTTGTTTAGGCTCCTAGTTATATTCATTTGTATTAGATTATACATAATCATTTTTTTACAGTTAATCAATACAATATGTGAAATCTGTTTTTCTTGCTTGCGATCTTGGTGGGACCTCGTGAAGGACAACAGCAATGGATTTATTTAGGGTTTTGAAGCTGGTAAGCTTTCAAATTGCAACAATGAAATAATTTTCAATTCTTGGGGTTTTAGTTATAATAGTTAAGGTTGGGTTGTTAATTGCTTGGGTTTTAATTAAGCTTCTCCAATTAACCCTGGACGACATATAGTCGGCCTACCAGGTATTCTTTCATCATCAGGTGCTCTTTTATTGAGATGACTAAAAACAATTGAAACACTGTCTTAAAATTCCTGATTAAAAATTTTAACAATTAAGTAATATGAAAGTATTGTATCAATAATTTAGGCCCAACGCTTTATAGAAACGCAAGAAATGCAGTCATCGAACTTCAAGAATAGCACAATCGCCTGGCGGAGAACCCCCTCACATCCCTATCATCCAATACATAGCAAATATGATTAGGTGAAGTTCAACTGCCGATTTTTCGTAAACATCTCTTAGTATATATCAATTCAAAAGTGTCCTTTCACAAAAATCTGCCCCCCCCCCTTGCCTTCACATCGTTCCGGCGTCCCTGATGAAGATGTCTGTCTTTTTAATTTTATTTTTCCCATGCCTGATGTTTAATAAATCTATTTATGACATATTACAACAATTTTAAAGATTTTGGGCTAGTGATGAGCAAGAAATCTTCGTGGCCTTTTTATTCAGGCCGATAGTTATATTTGTTTGTATTAGATTATATATAATCTATTTTTTACAGTCAATTAATGTAATATGTAAAATCTCTTAATTTCTACGTCTATTTTCATTAAATTTGATAAACGAGGTTGACTTGATAACATTGCCTTGCATGAAATTTTGGTGGAAACTTCTGAAGGACAACAGCAATGGATTTATTTAGCGTTTTGAAGCTGACAAGTTTTCAAAATGGTGCAATGAGATAATTTTAAATTGCGCATGCTGGGGTTTTAATTAATAATGCAGGTACTCATCTGGTGTTCTTTTAACAATGAAGTAATATGAAAATGTTGCAATAATTCAGGATCAACGCTATATTATTGCAGTGATGCAATTAGATGGATTTGGTCAAAATCTCTTTTGTTTTCTTATTTTAACATTTTTCTCTCTTTTTTAATTCTATTTTTCTCAGGTATAATAAATTTATTTATGATATATTAAAGATTTTGGGCTAGCGACCAACTAGAATCTTCGTAGACTTTTTATTTAGGTTCTCTCCTAGTTATATTCATTTGTATTAGATTACATAAATTTTTTACAGTTAATCAATACAATATGTGAAATCTGTTTTTCTTACATGAGATCTTGGTGGGAACTCGTGAAGGACAACAGCAATGGATTTATTTAGGGTTTTGAAGCTGATAAGCTTTCAAATTGCAACAATAAAATAATATTCAATTCTGGGGGTTTTAGTTATAGTAGTTAAGGTTGGGTTGTTAATTGCTTGGGTTTTAATTAAGCTTCTCCAATTAACCCTGGACGACATATAGTGGGCCTACCAGGTATTCTTTCATCATCAAGTGCTCTTTAGTTGAAATGACTAAAAAACAATTGAAACACTGTCTTAAAATTCCTGATTAAAAAATTTTAACAATGAAGTAATATGAAAGTAGTGTATCAATAATTTAGGCCCAACGCTATATTATTGCGGTGAATATTGTATCAGTCATTCAGTCTCAACGCTACTATTGCAGTGAATGGTCTTATAAATCAAGGTATGTTTATAATTATAGAACTTTTCACATAACTGTATTAAATATAGGTAGCATGGTTATACTGATTTCTTAAGCATAAGCCAGGTGTCATTAATAATATCGAGGGGCAAAGGGGGCAATCACACCTAGAAAGTGTATACGGAACGTTTGGACTTTTGAAAGTTCGCGGCCTTTATAGATTGAACGTTTTCAATGTCTTGTCGGACTTGTGGGTGACTTTCTTAGTTAATACAGGAATATTTTCTTGTTATTTTCAATGTTCTGGTAAAGCTGTGTCGGTAAATTCAATTATATTTTCCCAATTCGATAAAAAATTTTTTGTTAACTGAAATAATATGCAATTACTTTATGGTTTTCGTGTTTGGATGGCCTGATCCAAACACGCAGGAATGTTTCTCGAGTTAAGAAGCGCGAAACACGAGCCGAAGGCGAGTGATTTTGCGCGCTTTTCTTAACTCGAGCAACACTTCCCAAGTGTTTGGATCAGGCCATCCTAACAGAGAAACCATAAAGTAATTGTTTTATAAAATAACAACATGTTGGATGGCCTGATCCAAACACGGGTTTCGACCAATCAGAACACGCGTTATATACATGTTATTTTATAATCGTAGTTCCAGAGCAGTTTTCAGAATTGATGTATTTACTAGAGGATAAAATTTCATTCAGTACGTAGACAAATACAATACGCATCCGTCGTATTCCTTCAGATTTTCATTCAATTCAGAAATAAATTCTAGATTTCAAGGGTACATCCACAATTAACTTGTGGATTTTTCGTTCTTTTACAGACTTTGGACTTTTCGGACTATACACGGGCTTTTTGTCAAAGTGTATATTCACGACTTTCAGACTGATTTGCCCCTCAAACTACATAATTGTATATTTTAAGATAATAATACAGTAGTTAAATGGCTGAGATTACAAATGTAGATCGATAGTAAATAAACAAATGAAATGGTTCGGTTAAACTTTTTTCTTTTAGTTTTCTCCTTTTTTTAACTTTTTTTTTTTTTAAATTTATTTTTCCCAAGTATAAAAATGTATTTATGATATATATATATATATATATATATTACAATAATTGTAAAGATTGTGGGCCATTGTGTAGCTGGAAATCTTTGCAGACGTTTTTAATTTATAAGGTCCCTAGTTATATTTATTTGTATTGGATTACATAATCAATTTTTGCAGTCAATTAATCAACAATATGCGAAATTTTTTACTATAACGTCACGATAAGTGCCTTGCATGCAGTCTTGGTGGGCACTTGTGAAGGACAACAACAACGGATTTATTTAGGGTTTCGAAGCTAACAAGCTTCCAAATTGCTGCAATGAACGAGTTTCTAATTGCCGGGGTTTTAATTAAGTTTCTCCAATCCTGAACGGCCTAGTGGGCCTAACAGGTACTCGTCTGGTGTTCTTTTATTGAAATAAGAAAAAAAAAACAATTGAAAGACTGGTTATAATTCTTAATTAAAAATATTTAACAATTTCAATTTAACAAAAATATTTAACAATATTTAACTGATGATAAAATTTCATAAAGTACATGTAGGCAAATATAGTCCATGACTTATACTCCAAGGCATTTTTAATACTATGGACTGATCGGGCATTTGCCCCACTGCATGGGACCCTTCCTCTCCCCCGCTAATTAAAGAAAAAAAGGCATATTGCCCCAAAGCCATTGAAAAGAAGTTTAAAAAACAAACATTTTTGCTGAACATACTTAAACTTATCAGTTAATTGTGTTTGAATGTTTAGTGTGCAATTTATTACAAATTTCACCATTAAAACTTTTTTGAGAATCTTCGTAAACTTTTTATTTAAGTCGCGATAATTATATTCATTGTATTAGATTACGTAATCAATTTTTTACAGTCAATCAATACAATAGGTAAAATCTCTAGATCTTAATCTCTATGTTTTTTTCCATAAACTTGATAACTGCTTTGCATGCGACCTTATAGTGGGCTCATGTGAAGGACCACAGCAATTGATTTATTTAGGGTTTTGAAGCTGACAAGCTTTTAAAATGCTGCTGCAAAATGTTAGCTAAATTAAAGCTCTGAAATACTGGACGCCAGCTGGTGGGCCTATATACCAGGTACTCATCTGGTGTTCTTTTCTTGAAATAACAGAAAAACAATTGAAACACTGTTTAGAATTTTTACTGAGATTTTTTAACAATGAACTAATATTATTAAAACATCGTATCAGTAATTTAGTCCCAACGGTATTATTGCAGTGAATACTTTGGTCTTATAATTTAAGGTACAAAAATAGGCAGCATAATTATTGACTTATTATAAGCATAGATGTTACTTAAAATTTCGAGGGACAAATCACTCCTAGGAAATTTTCGGAACTCTTGGAGTTTCGAAAGTCAAAAGATCTTATGATTGGACTTTTAGAAATTTTGCTCGACGTTTGAGGACCTCTTGCAGTTAACGAAGCAATACTTTCTTTTTATTTTCAATGTTCTTGTGAAGCTATATATGCAGTAGAATGCAAATATATTTTATCAAAACAATAAAATAATATTTGCCAGACTTGTTTATTTTGTTCCAAAGCCGTCCTCAGAATTCGTATTTACTGATGATAAAAGTTCATATAATACATGAATAACTATAATGCCAATCCGTCGCAAACTTTTATGCTTGCTTTTAAATGTAGCCATCAGTATGCACCTCTCTATCTTGTCGATCTTTTAAAAGTAAGAAAGACATCGTGCTATAGTCTAAGATCTAACGAAGGCACACTGCTTGAAGACCACAGCACAAAAACAAAGAAAACACTCGGTGACAGAGCATTTGTAACTTCCGCTCCAAAAATCTGGAATGAATTACCTATGTATATTAGAAATCTGCATAACTTTAGTATTTTCAAGAAATTAGTTAAAACTTATTATTTCGAAGAAGCCTTTAATGTAAATAGTTCATGTAACATATAATCTATATAATCTTCTTTATATTTTTAGTTAGTAACCCGCATTCAGCACAACCTCGTACCCAGGGTATTTGCTGCATTCAGCATAGAATAATTTTAGTGTAATTATGTTTTGTGATGCGCATTTGATCATACTATAACATGTTAATTTGCGCAATATAAATATTAAATATTATTATTATTATTATATTTAATTCAGACCTGAATTTTACATCACGAGGGTGTATTTTAGGAATTTAATTGTTTTAAAAAAGTTTTAATTTTTTCACAGGGTATTTGTTTATTCCTCGTCAAATTGTGAAGAATGAAAGTTTTGTTGCCTTTCGTTTGTGTCGTTCTGCTCGTTGCGTTCACGACAGCAGATACTGTAGGAGGTTCGTATCATCCTTCATACTTGAATATCAATGATTTTCATTGTTTTTTTCCATGGAATTAAAGCCCAGGGCGAACTTGGTAACATTCAGGAAGCTACATTTCTCTTGTCTTAAAGGAGGCAAACCAAGAAACATTGTTTCCTAGCCTGTAGTCATGTTTTCTTAGGCGAAAGACGCACCACCGTAGGATCACGAGTTTCTGGTTTGGGTGAATTAGATAACCACGCCCTGTGTAATTGAACTTAATTAAGCAACTCATTATCAATAATTAATTCAATTATCATTATTATTACTATTAATTCAATGACTCATTACCTTTAAAGATTCAGCTGAAAAAATAGAAAACGAGGAGACGTCAGTTCTTGAAAAACGTCGGAGATGCCCCACAATAATTTTCCCGTGTGGTCGTGGCAGTACTATGAAAGTTGTTTGTAAGAACATGAAAGACGCCATTGACAGTGGCCACCCAGATCTTCTTCATCGCGTCTCCACAGCAGACAGCCAAATAAACAGACGTGACTCTAAGTGCCCGGCATTGACAAGAAAAACCAAGGCAAAAAGAAAAAAGACACCACTCAAAAAAATGAGCTGTGATGAGTATCCCTTCGCTTCATCCAGAGAAGGTGCGAAGTGTTAACATTCAAGAGGTGTCTGTTCATGCAGGAGAGGTTTCTTTACTGGAGTAGTGATTGTATTGAAGAAGTGTCATCATGGAGAGATGCCCGTATTAGAGAGGTTTCTGTATTAGAGAGATGTCTGTATTAGAGATGTTTCTGTATTAGAGAGGTGTTTGTATTAGAGAAGTGCCTGTATTAGAGAAGTGCCTGTATTAGAGAGATGTCTGTATTAGAAAGATGTCTGTATTAAATAGGTGTCGCTGCATTAGATAGGTATCTGTATTAGGGAGATGTATATATTAGAGAGATGTATATATTAGAGAGACGTCTGTATTAGAGAGATGTCTGTATAAGAGAAGTGTCTGTATTAGAGAGATGTTTGTATTAGAGAGATGCCTGTATTAAAGAAGTGCCTGTATTAGAGAGATGTCTATATTAGAGAAGTGTCTGTATTAGAAAGATGTCTGTATTAGAGAGATGTCTGTATTAGAGAGATGTCTGTATTAGAGGGGTGACTGTATTAGAGAGGTGTCCATATTAGAGAGGTGTCTGTATTAGAGAGGTGCGTGTATTAGCGAGGTGGCGCTGTATTGGAGAGATGTCTGTATTAGATGGAGAAGTCCTATACGAAAGGTTGTCTGTATTATAGAGGTGTCTGTAATGAAGATACGAACATACAAGAAAGGTGTGCGTATTTGATTGGATCTGTATTCTTAATTATTACTTTTGGCATTCAGCCTTTTCGGTGCGTTCTTAACCATGAACATTTTCTTCATTTTTCCAGGTGGAAAAGGTGCTAAGATCATGATGGTACCAGCAAATGAAAACAGCAAGCAAGGTGGTTTGTTGGCCGCTTTTTATAAAAGATATCGCATTGGTACCGGTGACTGTTACCGTGTCGTAGCTTATTAAATCTTCCTTTAGGCCTACTCTAAGATAATATTTGGCCATATTTTAACTTTCGTTAGTCAACTTTCGTTAAAGGTTAAAATACATTTCAACTTTAATTTCTAAGTCATAATTTTAAAAGTTTCAAGTTAATCTTGTACTTTCTTTTGTAATTTTCTTTTGTTGAAGAACAAAATTAAATAAAACAGTTGAATAAACATAACGTTTTGTGGTTTTTAATACCTGCATGGATAAGAAACATTGTTTGAACTTGTTGGGAAAGACTTTTACTTCTTGTAATGGTGGGAAGTAAATTCTGTGAATTTCCGGGACAATGCGTTTCTAAGAATGAACACATGGGATAATATTCGAGGAACATCGAAATTCAATGTTTCGACAACAAAGTTTCCTAATTTGAAGGGTGGTTTTGCAAATGATGTCATTTAAAGCCAAGAGGGATATTCCAGGGCCGTAGGAAGCTCTTTTCGATTGGGGGGGCTGAAAGCGAGGGCCGAAGGCCCGAGGAAATTTTTAAATTTAGAGTCTCTAAAATGCCATTTCCTGGACTTTGGGGGAAGATTTAACAGAATTATGATAGTCAGAAAACAGCGTTTTAGTATGTCGAAATTTACAGGAAAGTATGGGCCAGACTGTAGTATTATAAATGCGCGGCGGGAATTTTCGTCGTAAATGGCAGTTGCGCGGAAATGAAGGCAGAACATTTGAGAAAATTTCGAAAATCTGGAGTCTCTAGATGGTCTGAAATGGCATTTTCAGAGTTTTCTTTCGCAAGACCCAACACGCAAAAGACAAAATAAATCATTAGTTCATCAAAAATGTGCAGATTTTGTGGGATTTTCTTGAAAATGCGCGACAGAAATTCAGCTAAAATTTCTACGCGAGGAACGATCTGGAGTATGAGTAATATCTTCATTCTTTGCAGTTTGTCACAGATTAAATGATAAAGTTTGCATGATTTTGAAAAAAGAATGATTATTAGCAAATTATTGGGGGGGCTGCAGCCCCCCCAGCCCCCCCGGTTGCTACGGCCCTGTATTCTGAGGCGGAAAACTCGTCCATCTGTCTTGTCAATACGGCATCAGGAATAAAGCCGGTTTTCCACTTCGCCCGTATCGTACCGAAACGTACTGGTGAGCATGCGCAGATTGAAAAGAGGTTTATCAATCGACGTATACTGCCGGGTCTATTCGCGTATCAAAATGAAAAGTTCGTCGCAAGTCAACTTTTTGGCGAAGTATTAACCAATCAACATTCACTAAACTTTGAAATTTAAAAACGATTTTGATACGTTTCGGTACGCTTGAAGTGGAAAACCGGCTTGGGGGGAGGGAGTATCACATGTGCCGACAACATTTCAGTTGCTAATTAATATTTCCCCTTCCAAAAAAAGAATTCTTGGCGAGCGGGGGGAGGTCGAAATTTTTTTCCGGACATCTCATAATTTCTTAACTTTTTCCGTAATTTTTGTAAATTTACCAAAAATTTTGCTATAACTATTACTTTTTATTCCGAGCCACCTAAATATTTTCGCCGAATAATTTCCTTAAAAAAGGAAACCTTGATTTTGCAATTTGAAACAACCCATAATTCACAGAAGAAGTATAGTTCGCTGACCTCAGAATGACATTTCGTCAAAACTTTTTGCTTCAAGATTGGTTCAGAAAAAAACTTGGAGTAGGGTTAGGTTTAGGGTTAGGGTTAGAGTTGGTGTTTGGAAAGGGGTTAGTGTTAGTAAAACCATTGCTTTGTTACGTTTTGTCACTCTGAGGCCAGCGAAATAACCACTTCTATAATTCTCGCTATTTTGAGGAGGGTTTCGAAAACTTGAATTTTTACCAGGAGGAAGCTTGAACACGTTTTGGAACTCTGATTTAATCTTAGGTCGAATTTTGATCTCGTCGAATTCAATTAATATAAGACAATAAATAGATAATGAGATGATAAACCTCCCTAAGCTTCATTATCTATTGTTTGAATTACATTCGACGGGACCGAAATTCGACGTATAAAACAGGCCTTAATCTGGCCCTAATTTAAACCTGATCCTAATCTATACCTGATGCCGACCTCTATTTTTCCATAGTCAGCAAATTGTTGCATTCGTTAATAGGCAAAAAGTTGAGCAGTTTGGATATGGGCCAAATTATCAAATTGAATTATGTGAATTATGCAAAATTTTTAAAATGCAAAATTTTATATTGATGCAAAATTAAATATTGTCAAAATGCAAAATTTTGGCACATTCCTTGCCAAGATGGCGGAAATTGAAGGAGTTATTGGTCGTCTGTTCCAGTCCCTTTCTAGTGTTTTTATCTGCGCGGTTAACACGAAGTTGGCTTCACTTTTTGGACACTCACTCCAGATATAAATGGAGCTCGGTAGAATAAGGTGGATAGATATCTTGAAAATGTGCTATATCCAGTTGTAGCGAACAAATCAACAACTTGTTCCAGGTTGATATCAACAGGCGTGAACAAGTTTGTGCGGCCCACTATGAACAGTATTGTCAACATGTTGTTACAGCGTTGTTCAACTGTAACAACATGAAACAACATGGTTGGCCGCACAACATTGTTCACGCCTGTCGATATCAACTTGCAACAATCTGTGCGTTTTTAGCCGTGTGTATAAATGCAGACGGCGAGTTGGTTTTTGACAGCGGTCATAGCTGAAAACCGTTGTTGTGGGTGGTTCGGATCAGTTTTAATTGATCGTTGAGGAAGTCACTTGAAATCTTCCCAGAACGGAGGAAATGCCATTTAAAAGATTGTTGATTTCAAAATTTTTGCAGTTAATCAAAACTCTGTGTTGTTAAAAACAGTCGAGTATAGTCGACAGATCTGTGAATGTGGAGACGTGGATGCAATGTTAACCGACGATGTTTACTAAGTATGCGCTTGTACATATTCAATGACCTCCCCTCATCGAAGGAGGCCTAGCGCCGCCCCTGAAAATATGGGTATACTGAAAGTATACTCGTACACTTTCTAGGAGTGATTTGCTCCTCGATATTTTAAATAACATCTACGATTAAGAAATCAATAATCATGCTACCTATCTTTAATACAGTGATGTGAAAAGTTCTATAAAAAAACATACCTTAATTTATAATACCAAAATATTCACTGCAATAATAGCGTTGGAAATTAAATGAATTACTGATACAATATTTTCATATTAGTTCATTGTTAAAAATTTTAGGAATTATAAACAGTGTTTCAATTGTTTTTCTGACATTTCAAAAGACTGGTTTTCAATTAGTCGGCGACAACTCTCCGCGATGTCGTCCTGTTTAACCGCCTATCGTAATTCATCTGCGACTTTCGCAAGAAATAAAAAAAAAATTGTTTTGTTGCGACAGTCGGCAGTAGTCGCAGACATTCTGCGATATTAATAAAACTAGATAAAACAAATGAAAACACTAGGCGTGCTTCCTCTGCAGTACGTCATACACTAAACTAAAGCCGCATGCAGGAATAACTTTGCACCATTCTGAAAGCTTGTCAGCTTTATACATGAACCATTTATAGATCATCCATCTTCATGTGAGCACATGAACAACTACCCAGACGGACCAGACAGAATAGTGTCAATAGTTTTTCATTTTGAGAACTAATCATGCGCGATGTTCTCTTGCTGGTCCGTCTGATGCCGTATTGACAAAAAAGATGAACGAATCTTCCTCCTCAGAATATTCTCCTCGGCTTTTAGTGGGCGAGTAAAGTGAGAATGACGTCAGTCGAAACTTTGTTGAGGAAACATTGAATTTCGATGTTCATCGATTGTTATCTATGTGCTCATTCTTGGAAACGCATCGTCGCGGAAACTTACAGAATTTACTTCCCCCCGGCAATAGAAGGAAGCAACAATCTTTAATTTCCTAACAAATTCAAACAATGTTTTGTTACTCATGCAAGTGTTAAAATTTAAAAACCACAAATTAAAACGTTATGTTTATTCAACTGTTTTATTTCATTTTGTTCTTCAACAAAAATTTTACAAGATTAACTTAAAACTTAAATTATGACTTGGAAATTAAAGTTGAAATGTAATTTAACGAAAGTTAAAATATAACCAAATACTATCTCAGAGTAGGCCTAAAGGAAGATTTATTAAACTACCACATTGTAATAGTCACCATCTTTAATTCCATTCTTTTTATAAAAACCGCCCAACAAACCACCTTGCTTGCAGTTTTCACGTATTGGGACAAGCATAGTTTCAGCACCTTTTCCACCTAGAAAAATGAAGAAAATGTTCATGGTCAAGAACGACTCTGAAAGGTTGAATGGCAAGAGTGATAATCAGGAATACAGATCTACTGAAATACGCACACCTTTATAATACGTTCGTTTCTTCACTACGGAGATCTCTCTAATACAGACATCTCTCTAATACAGACACCTCTCTAATACGGATACCGCTCTAATACAGACATCTTTCCATTACAGGCACCTCACTAACACGGATACCGCTCTAACACAGACATTTCTCCATTACAGACACCTCACTAATACGGATACCGCTCTAATACAGACACACCTTTCTAATACGTTCGTTTCTTTACTACGAACACCTCTCTAATACAGACAACTTTTTGGTACGTACACCCTTCTAATACTGACACATCTCTGTTATCTAGACACCTTTCTTCTTATAAGACTTCTTCATCTAATACATACGAACACCACTCTAACACAGACACCTCTCTAGTACAGACATCTCTCTAATACGGGTACCGCTCTAATACAGACACACCTTTCTAATACGAACGTCTCTTCACTACGGACACCTCGATCTCTGATACAGACACACATTTCTAATATGTACATTTTTAATACAGACATCTCTCTAATACAGCCACCTCTCTAATACATACACCTCTCTAATACATACACCTCTCTAATAGAGACATCTCTCTAATACAGACACCTCTCTAATACAGACACCTCTCTAATACAGAAACCTCTCTAATACGGAAACCTCTCTAATACAGACATCTCTCTAATACAGACACCTCTCTAATACAGACACCTTTCTAATACAGAAACCTCTCTAATACAGAAACCTCTCTAATACGGATACCGCTCTAATACAGACATCTCTCTAATACAGACACCTCTCTAATACAGACACCTTTCTAATACAGAAACCTCTCTAATACAGAAACCTCTCTAATACAGAAACCTCTCTAATACAGACATCTCTGTAATACAGATGCCTCTCTAATACAGACACCTTTCTAATACAGAAACCTCTCTAATACAGACATCTCTCTAATACAGACACCTCTCTAATACAGACACCTCTCTAATACAGAAACCTCTCTAATACGGACAATTCTTTAATCCGGACAGCTCTCTAAATACAGAAACCCCTCTATTACAGGCATCTCTCCATTAGGGTACCTCTCTGATACGGTCACTACTCTAATAAAGAAACCTCTCAATTACGGAACAGCTTTCCTGTACGGACGCCTCTTGAATGCGGACACTTCGTACCTTGCTTGGATGAAGCAAAGGGATATTCGTCACAGTTATTGCCTGGTGTTTTAGGCATTTTTGTGCATCCAGAGTCACGTCTGTTCTTGTCTATGGCTTTCTTGTCCGTGATGCGTTGAAGAAGTGTTGGGTGACCTTTTGCAATGGCGTTTCTCATGTTTCGACAAACATTTGGCATAACAGTGCCAGCACCACACGGGAAAGTGATTGTGGGATATGCCGCACGTTTTTCTATTTCTTCAGCTGAATCTTAAAAGATAATGAGTCATTTAATTATATTGTTAATAATGAGTTGCTTAATATTGATTGCGTGGTTGCCCAATTCACCCGAGTCAGAGGCTCGTGACAAACGTGCTTGACAACGGCTAAGACCTACGATGTTGTTCTTGCTGACAAAACTCGAAGAAAACCTCTTAAAGCACAAAAGAAGAGTTTACCATTACAGAGCAGTCCCCTAACCTAGAATTAATCTCCAAGCCTCGACCCACAATGGCAGGATTAACTCAGTGGTTAGAGTGCTAAAACGATGTGTCTTTCACGCCTTGCTCTTAAATAATAAGATTTCATGATTTCCCTAAGTAAATCAATTCTTCTCATTTCTGCAAATAAAAATTGCTTCAAAGCTCATTATATGAAACGAAATCTTGCTTATCCCCACTCCTGGCAAACAGCTATATTTTTGAGATCAGTGAGGAGGTCCACCCTTGGATCATAGCCACGCGCCCGCGATTATTGATGAACTTAGACTTCACCGATGCTTACCTTCCCCAGGTTGTTTCCCTCGACGATTACAAGTCAGGAAAATATGTTTTTTAGTTGGGTTGCATGCCTTAACTAAGTCAAGAGAACTATAGTTTCTTTAATGTTACCCAGTTTACTTTGGGCTTTAATTTCACTGAAAAACAATGAAAATTATTAATTTTCAAGTTTGTACGAAGGATGGTACATACCTCCCACAATATCTGCTGTCGTGAATGCAACGAACAGAACGACACAAACGAAAGGCAACAAAACTTTCATTCTTCACAATTTGACGAGGATTCAATAAATATCCTGTGAATGTAAAATCCACGTCTGAATTGAATGAAAGTTCGAAAGAATACGACGGATGGGCATTATATTTGTTCATGTATATATAATTTATGAAATTTTATCATCAGTACTAAATATGAATTTTGAGGACGGATTTGGTACGAACGTGTCTAAACAAATATTTTTTATCGATTTGGGAAAATATATAATTGCATTCTACTGCATATAGTAGCTCAAGAACATTGGAAATAATAAAAAAGTATTGCTGTCTTAACCACAAAAGGTCTCCAAAAATCGAACAAAATTTCCAAAAGTCCAATCATAAAATGCCCGGACTTTCGAAAGTCCAAAAGTTCCGTACACTTTCTAGGAGTGATTTGTCCCTCGATATTTTTAATAACACCCATCCTAATGAAATCAATAACCATCTTACCTATCTTTAATACAGTAATGTGAAAAGTTTTATAAAAACATACCTTAATTTATAAGACCAAAGTATTTAAGAGGTTTAACTATAAACCCAGGAATTAACATTTGTTTCATTGGAAAAAATAATAAAAAAGAATAAAAGTGTGCCAAAGTAAAAAAATAATAAAAAATGCTAAAGTGGAGAAAGGATGGACTGCTGTCTCATGTCTCAATGGAATGAAAATCTGAAGTTGCATTTTACTGCACAGTTTCAACAGAACATTGAAAATAACAAGAGTATATTCCTGTATTAACTACAAATTAAAGTCTTCCAAAGTCCTACAACATTCTCAAAAAGATCCGATCCAATGATAAAATGTCCGAACTTTCGAAAGTCTATATATAGGAGTAATTTATCCTTCGATATTTTTAATAACATCTATGACTATATATATGCTTATAAGAAATCAATAATCATGCTATACCTGTTTTTAATACAGTAACGAGAAAAGTTCTATAAAAAACATACCTTGACTTATATATAGACCAAAATATTCACTCCAACAATACCGACTGAATAACTGACTCGATATTTTCACATTAGTTCATTGTTAAAAAATCTCAGTTGGTAGTAAACAGTGTTTCTATTGTTTTCCTGTTAGTTCAATAAAGAACACCAGGTGAGGTACCTGGTATTGGCACATCAGGCCATCCAGTATTGCAGACCCTTACTGTCTTTAACTATAAACCCCCAGGCACAAGAATTAAAAATTATTTCATTGACAAAAATAATAATAAAAACATAATAAAAGTATGCTAATGAGTAAAGAGTAAAGTAGAAAAGTAATAAAAAATGTGTAGACAGTGCCACTGTTCATACAAAGCCTCCAAGTGCCCCGTTTTTATCTCACTCCGTTTAGAAACCGCGCTCGAATTGTTACCACAAAAGTGACGTTCTCAACTGAACAATCTTGCTCCAGCGACCGGCGTATATAGTGAACGCGACGGCCAAATTCCTAAAATGTACCCTTAAAATATCCTGTGAAAAAAGTTAAAACTTTTTTTAAACAATTAAATTCCTAAAATATGTATGCTGATGTAAAATCCACGTCTGAATTGAATGAAAGTTCGAAAGAATACGACGGATGGACATTATATTTGTTCATGTATATATAATTTATGAAATTTTATCATCAGTACTAAATATGAATTCTGAGGACGGCTTTGGTGTGAACATGTCTAAAAGATAATTTTTTATCGATTTGGGAAAATATATAATTGCATTCTACTGCATACAGTAACTCAAGAACATTGGAAATAGTAAAAAAGTATTGCTTTCTTAACCACAAAAGGTCGCCAAAAATCGAACAAAATTTCCAAAAGTCCAATCATAAAATGCCCGGACTTTCGAAAGTCCAAAAGTTCCGTACACTTTCTAGGAGTGATTTGTCCCTCGATATTTTTAATAACACCCATCCTAATGAAATCAATAACCATCTTACCTATCTTTAATACAATAATGTGAAAAGTTTTATAAAAACATACCTTAATTTATAAGACCAAAACTATTTAAGAGGTTTAACTATAAACCCAGGAATTAACATTTATTTCATTGGAAAAAATAATAAAAAAGAATAAAAGTGTGCCAAAGTAAAAAATAATAAAAAATGCTAAAGTGGAGAAAGGATGGACTGCTGTCTCATGTCTCAATGGAATGAAAATCTGAAGTTGCATTTTACTGCACAGTTTCAACAGAACATTGAAAATAACAAGAGTATATTCCTGTATTAACTACAAACTAAAGTCCTCCAAAGTCCTACAACATTCTCAAAAAGGTCCAATGAAAAAATGTCCGAACTTTCGAAAGTCTAAAGCTTCCGTATACACTTTCTATATATATAGGAGTAATTTATCCCTCGATATTTTTAATAACATCTATGACTATATATGCTTATAAGAAATCAATAATCATGCTATACCTGTTTTTAATACAGTAACGTGAAAAGTTCTATAAAAAACACACCTTGATTTATATATAGACCAAAATATTCACTCCAACAATACCGACTGAATAACTGACTCGATATTTTCACATTAGTTCATTGTTAAAAAATCTCAGCTGGTAGTAAAGACAGTAAACAGTGTTTCTATTGTTTTTCTCCTAGTTCAATAAAGAACACCAAGTGAGGTACCTGGTATTGGCCCATCAGGCCATCTAGTATTGCAGATCCTTACTGTCCTTAACTATAACCCCAAGCACAAGAATTAAAAATTATTTCATTGACAAAAATAATAATAAAAACATAATAAAAGTATTCTAATGAGTAAAGAGTAAAGTAGAAAAGTAACAAAAAATGTGTAGACAGTGCCATTGTTCATACAAAGCCTCCAAGCGCCCCGTTTTTATATCACTCCGTTTAGAAACCGCGCTCGAATTGTTACCACAAAAGTGACGTTCTTAACTGAACAATCTTGCTCCAGCGACCGGCGTATATAGTGAACGCGACGGCCAAATTCCTAAAATGTACCCTTAAAATATCCTGTGAAAAAAGTACAATTAAATTCCTAAAATATGTATGCTGATGTAAAATCCACGTCTGAATTGAATTAAAGTTCGAAAGAATACGACGAATGGGCATTATATTTGTTCAAGTATATATACTTATGAAATTTTATCATCAGTACTAAATATGAATTCTGAGGACGGCTTTGGTACGAACATGTTTAAAAGATATTTTTTATCAATTTGGGAAAATATATAATTGCATTCTACTGCATACAGTAGCTTAAGAACATTGGAAATAATAAAAAAAGTATTGCTTTCTTAACTACAAAAGGTCTCCAAAAATCGAACAAAATTTCCAAAAGTCCAATCATAAAATGCCCGGACTTTCGAAAGTCCAAAAGTTCCGTACACTTTCTAGGAGTGATTTGTCCCTCGATATTTTTAATAACACCCATCCTAATGAAATCAATAACCATCTTACCTATCTTTAATACAGTAATGTGAAAAGTTTTATAAAAATATACCTTAATTTATAAGACCAAAAGTATTTCAGAGGTTTAACTATAAACCCAAGAATTAACATTTATTTCATTGGAAAAAATAATAAAAAAGAATAAAAGTGTGCCAAAGTAAAAAATAATAAAAAATGCTAAAGTGGAGAAAGGATGGACTGCTGTCTCATGTCTCAATGGAATGAAAATCTGAAGTTGCATTTTATTGCACAGTTTCAACAGAACATTGAAAATAACAAGAGTATATTCCTGTATTAACTACAAACTAAAGTCCTCCAAAGTCCTACAACATTCTCAAAAAGGTCCAATGAAAAAATGTCCGAACTTTCGAAAGTCTAAAGCTTCCGTATACACTTTCTATATATATAGGAGTAATTTATCCCTCGATATTTTTAATAACATCTATGACTATATATGCTTAAGAAATCAATAATCATGCTATACCTGTTTTTAATACAGTAACGTGAAAAGTTCTATAAAAAACATACCTTGATTTATATATAGACCAAAATATTCACTCCAACAATACCGACTGAATAACTGACTCGATATTTTCACATTAGTTCATTGTTAAAAAATCTCAGTTGGTAATAAACAGTGTTTCTATTGTTTTCCTGTTAGTTCAATAAAGAACACCAAGTGAGGTACCTGGTGTTGGCCCATCAGGCCATCCAGTATTGCAGACCCTTACTGTCTTTAACTATAAACCCCCAGGCACAAGAATTAAAAATTATTTCATTGACAAAAATAATAATAAAAACATAATAAAAGTATGCTAATGAGTAAAGAGTAAAGTAGAAAAGTAATAAAAAATGTGTAGACAGTGCCACTGTTCATACAAAGCCTCCAAGCGCCCCATTTTTATCTCATTCCGTTTAGAAACCGCGCTCGAATTGTTACCACAAAAGTGACGTTCTCAACTGAACAATTTTGTTCCAGCGACCGGCGTATATAGTGAACGCGACGGCCAAATTCCTAAAATGTACCCTCGTCCTCGGAATCGAAAATTTATGTCTGAATTAAATTATCAAAACCTTGAAGATAACAAGAAAATATTCCTTTATTAATTGCAAAAGGTCCCCAAATGTCCCACAAAATTCTCAAAAAGAGTCCAATCATAAAATCTCTGGACTTTCAAAAGTCCAAACGTTCCGTGCACACTGACTTTCTAGCAGTGATTGGCCCCTCGAAATTTTAAATAACATCTATATGCTTAAGAAATCAATAATTATGCTACCTATCTTTAATACAGTATTCAGTAAAGTGAAAAGTTCTATACAAAAACATACTTTAACTTAGCCTATATGACCAAAATATTCACTGCAATAGCAACGTTGCATGGGATTGTGTGAATTACTGATACAGTATTTTTATATTACCTGATTGTTAAACGTTTTTCAGTAGAAATTTTCAACAGTGTTTCAATTGTTTCACTTTCATGTCGATAAAAGAACACCGAACGAATACCTGGTATAGGCTCACCAGGCCGTCCAGATTTTAACTAAAACCCCAAGAATTTAAAATTATTTTATTGCAATCATTTTGAAAGCTTCTCAGCTTCAAAACCATAGAAATAATAGATATCTATTATTTCTATGTTCAAAACCCTGTATAGATCCATTGCTGTTGTCCTGCACACGAGCAACTGGAGAATAAATGAACGAACCATTACTCAGAAGAGTCGAGTAATGAGCTCGAGTTTCTTTCAATATGCCCATATTTTCCACGCAATGATTCATAAGCGCAATCGTGGGTCTATATGCATGGGGTGCAAAAAGCTATATATAACAGCAACATTTTCAGCTAATTATCATAAATGACGTATACTATATATAGTACTTGAAGTTGTTGCTAGCCCAAATTACTGAGAATTATAATTAGCAGCAATTTAGCTAGCAATGCCGGGCGCCTGGACGCAGTGATAAAAAAAGCATCGAAAAGATTATTCTTTATGCAAGTTAAAGTTCAACTGTTCAAGTTCAATTTACTTCATACTATTTAACTGATACATTACATTACATTACATTACATTAGACGAATATTCATAATATAAATTCGGTGTAAACACATAAAAAAGTTTTAACTGATTAAGATATTCAAATTGTGTACGACAATACTTGACAGAGTCTACTTGACAGAGTCTTGTAGTTTGTTTGAAATATATTTAGTTTACATCCATAATACTATTCCTATATATTACACGTGTCCACACAATACCATGGTTCACAGGGTGTAGTGATCACGTGAATACCACAAACACTCTTGTAGAAGGCATGATAACCGGTAAACCGAATCGACGCTTTGCGTTTCCACTGCCATCCGCCATCTTTTCAAAAATCTGAACATTATTTATCATGCCGCGCGAAATCGTTTCATCGACTTGGTGTAAGATGTCACCAAATGGTTTCACGCGCTAATTATCGCTGGCGCGATTTGGGAACGAGATTATTGATGTGTTCGATCATCAATGATGTGATCGACCGTCAACGGTTTCGAAATTTGCGGCGGCGCTCAATCAGGAGCGGCGCTCTTTAAAAAAATCTTTTATTTGTGAATTATAACAAGAAATTTTAGCAATAAAATAAACAAGTTTTAAATGTCTAAATGGACGGCGGAAAGTTTTTACACTGTTTACAAGTTTACAAAATATCAATGTCACTGTCCTCTTCATGATCCGAGTCCAACTGCTGCATCGTAACCATTGTTGGATATGCCTCCCCGATATCAGAAGACGTAAATTCGTTGCATTGAAAGAGATTCGATTAAGCGCCGCAATTGAAAATAATTAGTGCGGCGCTCATTCGGGGGCGGCGCTCTTTAAAAAAAATTGATCTCAAATGCGGCGCTCATTCGGGGGCGGTGCTCAATCGAGTAAATACGGTATACATCTACATATATAATCTCAGCCTAACTATTGTATTATTACCAAGCATACAATTACATTTTTCGAGGGGCAAATCACTCCAAAAAGTCTCGTACACTTTGACGAAAAGTCCGTATAAAATCCGAAAAGTCCAAAGTCTGCATGTGAAATTCTGAAAATTCCACGAATATATATGAATATATATTTTACGAAATTTCAGAACTGACAAACTTAACACATTGAACTATAAGTAAACTTATAGTTTACTTATAGTTCAATGACTTAACATGAGTTTGTCAGTTCTGAAATTTCGTAAAATATACCCTTAAAATCTAAAATTTACGTCCCACATCCATCATATGAATAACATTCTTATTTTCTACTGGCCTTGATTCGACTTGACGCAGAATAATTTTGGAAATGATAGGGGAAAATTTTAAGAATAATAGGATAAAGTCAAGGGAATTAAGAAATAGGATATTGGGCAAATTTTCGAGGATAATGTGCGTGTCCCTAGTAAATTCAGATCACGTGCAGATTCAGACTTGCAGTGGCGTAGTAACGTATAAGTAAAGACGTCTTGTACGGCACTACGCCAATGCAAATCTGAATTCACAACTTAAGATTGAGCATCGCATGGTTTAAATAAACACCTATGGCTCCAAATACAGTTGCTAGAATATTTTCACGGTAACATGACAATAAAATTTTATTGAATTTCAAACTATTGTAGTCATGTTTTTGCCTATTACCACTAACTATTGGACTTCCTATGATCCTACTCATTCCACTGACCACTCCTGAAAATCGCCATACTTTTGAGATCAGTCATTCGCTCTCGCCCTTCCTTCGGCCCGCCGCTTCCCTTCCTCTCACTAAAACGCACTGGAATAAAAAATAGAAGGCCCCTTGATCTAGGCTGTAGTTTGATATTGTTCTGGTAACCGTGAAATTTGTGTGAAGGACTATCTAATATTGTCTTAAATAATTTGCCACATAATTGTATGTTCGTGATGCTCAGCAAGAGATTTAGAATTCGAAGTTTTCAACACACACTTGTACGACATATTACTAGCGTGAATAATTTCATTGCATTGAATTTTTCTGGGCACGTTCAAGTTTGTCTTTCAGATGAGGAGTGATAAAAAAACTGGGACACCCGATAACCAATACTACAATAGTTAATCCAATACAAGGCACCCCTGCTCAACTCGAAAGCTTATGCTACTTTGGCCACCGTGCACAATTTGAATATCTTAATTTAAAACATTTTTATGTGTTTACATCGAATTTATATTATGAATGTCTCGTCTCATGTAATGTAATGTATGTTAAATAGTATGTTAAATATGAACTTGAACAGTTGAACTTTAACTTGCATAAAGAATAATCTTTTCGATGCTTTTTTTATCACTGCGTCCAGGCGCCCATTGCAGGCAAAATTGCTGCTAATTATAATTCTCAGTAATTTGGGCTAGCAACAACTTCAAGTACTAGTATACGTCATTTATGATAATTAGCTGAAAATGTTGCTGTCATATATAGCTTTTTACACCCCTTATAGACTCATGATTGCGCTTATGAATTGATTGCGTGGAAAATATGGGCATATTGAAAGAAACTCGAGCTCATTACTCGACTTCTGAGTACTGGTTCGTTCATACATTTATTCTCCAGAAGAATACAGGTCCAGTCAAATGCGCACACCTTTCTCATACGTTCGTCTCTTCACTGCGGAGACCTCTCTAATACAGACATCTCTCTAATAAGGGTTCGTTCTAATACAGACACCCCTTTCTTATACGTACGGAGAATTCTCCATCTAATATAGACACCTTTCTCATATGAACAGGTACCTCTCTAATACAGAAACCTTTCTAATTTCGGTACCTCTTAAATATGGATATCTCTATAATACCCACACACATTCCTTCCCAAGCAAGGCTTTGCAGAGTTATTGCTCTACAAAAATCACAGCTAATGGGTACCTCTCTAATCCAGATACCTCTTTAATCCGGACACCTCTCTAATGGAGAAACCTCTCTAATACGGGCATCTCTCCATGAGCGAGGACACCTCTCCAATATGGTCACTACAGGCATCCCGCAGGGGACAAAATTAGCTCCCTGGCTTTTTCTAGTTATGATGAACGATCTCGACGTTGCTGGCGACGCGAGCCTTTGGAAATACGTTGATGATTCAACCATGTCTGAAACTGTCGGTAAAGATCAACCTAGTGCAATGCAAACTTATCGGTTAACGAATTCGCCGCGAAGTCTAGAAACGATGGTATGCATCTAAAGGAATCCAAGTGTAAAGAACTTCGCATTAGCTTTTCAACTACAAATGTCGAATTCGAACCCATTATCATCAACAACAAAGAAATTGAAGTGGTCCCGTCTGCAACACTGTTAGGCCTATCTATATCCAACGATTTTAAATGGAACACACAAATCGAGAATGTATGCAAAAAAGTCTCATCTCGCTTATACTTTTTGAGACAATTGAAACGAGCCAAATTACCATCAAAAGACCTCCTTCTGTTTTATGTCACTTGCGTTCGGCCGGTGGCTGAATACGCGTGTGAAGAGTTCCATGACTCTCTTCCTAAATACCTGTCCGATGACCTCGAGAAACTACAAACAGGGGCATGCAGAATAATTATTCCTGGACACTCCTACGAAAATGCACTTATCCAGCTAAGTCTCACCTCTCTGACCTACCGAAGACAAAACCTCACAAACAAACTTTTTAAAACTATTGTTAATGATCCTTAAAATAAACTACATCACTTATTACCCACATTAAATCACTCTGAGGTATCTCTAAGAGTAAGAAGAAAGTTTTTAGTTCCTAATTTTAAGGCAATTAGATGTAAAAACGATTTATCAACTGTAATTCCAGTAAACATATAGAATATATGTAAAATATTTAATGTGTTTTAATCCATGTAAATACATAGGTAAATACTTTTATTAACTTTTTTAATCTACTGTTGTAAAACATAACGTTATTCAGCCAAAGGTTATTACCAAGGCTGCGAGTTTAACTATTAAATCATCTATCCATCTATCCTATCCAATAAAGAAACCTGTGAATCACGGGTCGCCTCTGCTGACCTTGTTCGGTTGTAGCAAAGGGATACTGGGCACATTTATTACACTTTGCCGATTTCTCGTTCAATGGGCCATGTTCCTAACAAATAATTATGAAAAAACGAAAATTAAGAGGGAAATGAATAATTAGAATAATTAATGAGGAAATCGAATAATTAATGGAAGCGCGGATAAGTGGGAAGGGGAGGAATTTCTCGTCTTTCCATTTTCCTTTTCGCCCTCGTCCTTAGTTGCGGGCGTGCGCCTGAGGCGTGCGTCTTTATCGGGCTTGCAATGCACGCCACTGATCTCTACATTACGGATATTTAAATTTAATCTATATATAGAAAGGCCTGCGGAGGAGACAGTGAGACTCTGAACATAAATATAACGAGTCACTTAATTATCGTTGATGAGTTGCTTACTATCGACGAACCAGACAGAATAGTGGCAATGGTTCTTCCATTTTGTGAACTAATCCTGCCTGATATTCTTTTGCTAGTCCGTCTGATGCCGTATTGACAAAACAGGCGGACGAATATATTCTCCTCGGCTTTTAGTGGGCGATTAAAGTTAAAATGACGGCATTCGAAAAAACACCCTTCAAATTAGGAAACTTTGTCAAGGAAACATTAAATTTCGATGTTCCTTGAATCTTACTCTTGGAAACGCACTGTCGCAAAAATTTACAAAATTTACTCCCAACAACTTCAAAATTTGTTGTTTCCCCAAGTGTTAAAAAGGACAAAACTTTATGTTTATTTCATTTAAAAACGGTACCGGTTCTATTTCGCTCCTCAAGAAAAGAAAATTCTACAAGTACAACATTAACTTGAATTAGTATTTTTGCACAAGTGAATATAACAAATTCTACAAGTTGATTGGTCAAATTAGACGTATTAAGCTGTTATATTCACCTACAGGTCAAATTTGACTTATTAAGCTGTTATATTCACCTACAGGTGAATACGACAACCAAAATTTGCAAAATTGCGGCTAGCCGTTTTGTGGAAGTTACTGATAAAGAAATAAGCAAAATTAAAATAAATTCAGTCCCAAAAAACACAAAAGACTTGTGTAAAAATGCTAAAACAATTATTCGCCTCAGGCTCGGTGATTATCGGGGAATATTCCCCGACTGTAAAATGTGGTAGAAAGTTGAAATGTATTTTAACGAAAGTTGTGAAATTCATTAATAATTCATGAAAGAAATGATGAGCGTGAAGGAGTGTGAATATCTGATACAAAATCATGCTGATTTACGTAATCTTTAAGTTCAAATTTCTCACTAAATATCATTCATTTGTTTTAAATTGTTGAACAATACGCACTGGATGTTCTCATCAGGCCATTTACAACATTTGCGTCCATCCGTGTTGTAAATAGTCCATAAAACAGTAAGTGTTGTGAGATAAGACAATACAAAGCGAGTGATAGGTGATTTAAGGAAGGCCTAAATGAAGATTTATTTACCAAGTACGACATTGAAACAGCCACCATTACCAATCGAATTTGTTTCGTAAAAAGTGAACACTGCAGTACGTAGAAAACCATTTTCACCCTGTGGGACACGCGTTGTAGCAGCACCTGTTCCACCTAGAAAAATGAAGAAAATGTTCATGTTTAAGAACGACTCTGTAAGGCTGAATACCAAAAGTAATAATAAAGAATACGGATCCACTCAAATACGCACGACTTTCTAATACATTCGTCTCTTCACTGCGGACATCTCCCTGATACAGACAACTTTCTAGTACGTACACCCTTCTGATACTGACACCTTTCTTATACGACTTCTCCATCTAATACATACGAACACCACTCTAACACAGACATCTCTCTAATACAGACATCTCTCTAATACGGGTACTGCTTTAATACAGACACACATTTCTAATACGTCGTCTCTTCACTACGGACATCTCTCTAATATAGACATATATTTCTAATATGTACACCCCCCCCTGATACTGACACATCTCTGTTATCCAGATACCTTTCTTATATGGAGACTTCACCATCTAATACAGATACAGAAAGCTTTTTAGTTTGGGTACCTTTCCAATACGGATATCTCTCTAATACGGACACCTCTCTAATGAACACCTCTCTAATCCAGACACCCCTTTCATTCGGACGCCTCTCTCTAATACAGAAACCTCTCTAATACGGGCATCTCTCCATGAGGACACCTCTCCAACATGGTCACTATTCTAATAAAGAAACCTGTGAATCACGGGTCGCCTCTCCTGGGCGGACCCCTCTTTAAAGCATATACTTCGTACCTTCTCTGGTCATAGCAAAGGGATACCGGGTACACGCCCCATCTGCAGCCACTCCTCCACATTGAGAGAGACGTTTGTTCTTTTTTATGGCTGATAAGTTCGTGATGCGATGTAGAAGTGTTGGTTTGCCGTCATTAATGGCCTGCCGAATGTTCGCACAAAGAGCTAGCATATTAGGACACGGCAAAGTCAACGTGGGGCATGTTTGACGTTTTTCAAGAGATAACTCCGTGCCATCAGCTGAATCTTTAAAGATAATGAGTCATTTAATTATTGTTGATAATGCGTTGCTTTATATTGATTACACAGGATCTGGTTACCTGCTTGACAAAGGCTAAGATCTAAGATCTTGTTTTTAGTGGAAAAAACTCGAAGAAAAACCCTCGAAGCACAGTCCCCTAACCTATAAAGAAACCCCCAAGTCTCGACCAACAGTAGCAGGATTAGCTCAGCGGTAAGGGGCAGTACTACAATGTGTAACTGGCTTCGATTCCAAGCACTTCAAATTTCACTCAAGATATCGTCTTTATTGGCCTGACTTCTCCGAAGAATAGTTCAAAACTGATTGAGCTAACCAGTATGAAAACCCTGAGCGTGAATTTCATTGAAAATCATTGATATTCAAGTTTGTATGAAGGATGATACGAACCTTCCACAGAGTCTGCTGTCGTGAACGCAACGAACAGAACGACACAAACGAAAGGCAACAAAACTTTCATTCTTCACAATTTGACGAGAATTAAACAAATATCCTGTGAAAAATTCAAACATTCAAGCGCACCAATTAAGTTTTCTCAATTTCTCACGAAGGCCAAAATTCCCCCTTTTTGGGGCACTGTCTGCCCTCGTGAAAGATTCTAGACAATTCACACAACGAGATGAGTCACTTTTAAAAGTGTAACTGTGAATTTACTATTATACAAAAACTACAATACTAAAAAGTTGTATTTCCTGGTGCGGAGACTCTCTAACGTGGGAGAGGCAGTACCCCAAAAATGGCGGGAAAATCCGCTGTGAAAAAGGCTAATTAACATTAATTGCGCGATTTACAGTTGAGAAAGACCGTCTGTGAAGACGAACTATAATAATAGAAACCTTCGCCTCAGTAAATATGGATTCTGACGACGCCTCTGGAAGAAACATTGAAAATAATCCACAAGAGGCCGCCGACAAAAATTCTCAAGTTATTTTTAATAACATCTATGTTTAAGAAATCAATAATCATGGTTACCTATTTTTAATACAGTAATGTGAAAAGTTTTATAAAAACATATACCTGAATTTGTAGGATCAAAATGTCCACTGCAATAATTGCGTTCGTACTGAATATTACTGATACAATATATTCTTGTTAGACTATATTTAGTTCATTGTTAAAAAATTTCAGTACAGTGTTTCAATTGTTTTTCTGTCATTTCAATGAAAGAACACCTGATGAGTACCTGGTGGGCCCACTAGACCGTGCAGTTATATCATATTTAATTATACGCTTATAACTGAAACCGCAGTAATTTAAAATTATCTCATTGCACCATTTTGAAAGCTTGTCAGCTTCAAAATCCTAAATAAATCCATTGCTGTTGTCCTTCACAAGTGCCCATGCCCCAAGATCGCATGCAAGGCAGTGGCCGCTGACAAAATTCTCCAGTTATTTTTCAATAACATCTATGTTTAAGGGACTGGTTATTATTTATGGCAGGGGGGTGGCACCGAAGAGAAAAGGGTTGGGTAAACAAAATTTTGAGTAAGGAAAAGGTTGGGTAAATGAAAAAGAAAACAACTCAAGAGTTGGGTAATAAAAATGTATTGTCATTTCCAAAGCACGACTCACCGAAATGTTGGAGACTAAAAAGCAATGTGAACAGTCATATATACAATATGTGAATCAATCAGAGTCACTGTCTTGATCATTTTCCGATTTGTTGGGAGACAAATGGTACTGTCTCCAAAGAAAATACATGTGCAGGCAACACGAAACTTTAGACGCCAGCAAATTTCACAAGCAGTTATCAAAATCATGTCGTAGAAGTGGTAAAGGACATGTGTGACAACTGAATGGTATCCGTTTGTAAAGTTTTTGGCCAGGGGTGGGTATTTATTTTTTAATTGATATTTGAGGTTGGGTAATCAAATTTTTGACTTTGTAATGGTTTGGTCAGCAAAATATTTGCCACGAAAAACATTTCTCTTCGGTGCCACCCCCCACCATAAATAATGACCGGTCCCTAAGAAATCAATAATTATATGGATACCTATTTTTAATACATGCAGTAATGTGAAAAGTTTTATAAAAACATACCTGAATTTGTAGGATCAAAATGTTCACTGCAGTAATTGCGTTCGTACTGAATATTACTGATACAATATATTCTTATTAGACTATATTAGTTCATTGTTAAAAAATTATAAGAAAGTGTTTCAATTGTTTTTCTGTCATTTCAATAAAAGAACACCTGATGAGTACCTGGTGGGCCCACTAGACCGTGCAGTATATCATATTTAATTATACGCTTATAACTGAAACCGCAGTAATTTAAAATTATCTCCCCGCCGACAAAATCACTCCTAGATAGTCTATGCAACCTGCTTTGTATTTTCGATTATCTGAACATTTTTTCATCTGACTAATTTCGAAATATTTCAAGAAATAATTCAAAAAATATTAACAATATGACTATGTGTAAAAAATATATCTCACTTGTTAATAGAATGCATTTGTTGTGTTTCTGAGTCTAGTTGATGCGATTGCTTTATGTTTTCGTCGTACTTGAACGGTCGTCAGTACTGGCACTGCACTACACTACACTATAAGAATATCTTATCCTATCAAGGGAAGTGTAATTAAAAAAATATAATTGTATACTTAATAATACAATAGTTAGGCTGAGATTATAAATGTAGATGTAATCTCTATGTCCATTTTCTATAAACTCGATAACTGCCTCTTTAGTCGGCACTTGTGAGTTCTGAAGGACAACAGCATTGAATTTATTTAGGGTTTAAAGCTGAAAATATTTCAAAATGGTGCTATGAAATATAATGCACGGTCTAGTGGGCATACCAGGTACTCATCAGGTGTTCTTTTATTGAAATGACAGAAAAACAATTGAAACACTGTCTTATAATTCCTGAAAATATTTTAACAATGAAGTAATTTAAAGTTTAATTAGTTTAAGACTTTACGTTTAGCGAGCGAAACATGAATGAAGTAATTATTGTCGAATATGAAAATATTATATCAGTATAATTCAGTCCCAACGCTATTATTGCAGTGAATGGTCTTATAAATTAAGGTATGTTTTTATGGAACTTTTCACATTACTGTACTAAAATAGGTAGCATGATTATGGATGTTTTTAAAACTGATATCGAAGAGCAAATCACTTTTGGATAGTGTATGCAACCTGCTTTGGATTTTCGAATATCTGGACATTTTATCATTTGACTAATTTCTGAGAATTTTGTCGTACATTTGCGAACTTATATTGGGTAATCAAGGAATATTTTCTTGTTATTTTCAATGTTCTGGTGAAGCTATGAAGTAAAATGCAATTATATTTCAAAAAATCATTAAAAAATTATTATTTAAAAATATTCGTTCCAGAGCAGTCTTCAGAATCTATATTTACTGAGGATAAAATTTCGTTAAAATACATTGACAAATATAATGTCAATCGGTCGTATTCTTCCGAGTTTTTAATTCAATGTAGATGTGAATTTTAGTCTTCAGAGGTATATTTTAGGTATTTAATTGACAAGCTAAAATTCGTGGATTTTTCGGCCGACTTCTCGGACTTGGACTTTTATGATTGAATTTTCTGAGAATTTTGTAATACATTTGCGGACTTATTATTGTGCACGGTTAATCAAGGGATAATTTCTCGTTATTTTCAATGATCTTGTCAATTTATGCAGTAAAATGCTTTGATATTTCCCGAAGTCAATAAAAATTTATTATGGACTTTTCGTCAAAGTGTATACGAAACTTTTGGAGTGATTTGCTCTCGAAAAATATAATTGTATGTTTGGTAATAACGCAACAGTATAGGCTGAGATTATAAATCTACATGTCTATATCTCTTAATCTCTGCGTCCATTTTCTATAAACTTGATAACACTGCCTTGCATGTGATCTTGGTGCATGGGCACTTGTGAAGGACAACAGCAATGGATTTATTTAGGATTTTGAAGCTGACAAGTTTTCGAAATGGTGCAATGAGATAATTTGAAATTACTGCGGTTTAAGTTATAAGCGTATAATTAAATATGATATACTGCTCGGCCTAGTGGGCCCACCAGGTACTCATCAGGTGTTCTTTTATTGAAATGACAGAAAAACAATTGAAACATTGTGTTATTATTCCTGAAAATATTTTAACAATGAAGTAATTATTGTCGAATATATGAAAATATTATATCAGTATAATTCAGTCCCAACGCTATTATTGCAGTGAATGGTCTTAAAAATTAAGGTATGTTTTTATAGAACTTTTCACATTACTGTACTAAAAATAGGTAGCATGATTATGGATGTTTTTAAAAATATCGAAGAGCAAATCACTCCTGGTTTAGTGTATGCAAACTGCTTTGGATTTTCGAGTATCTGAACATTTTATCATTTGACTAATTTCTGAGAATTTTGTCGTACATTTGCGAATTTATTTTGGTTAATTAAGGAATATTTTCTTGTTATTTTCAATGTTCTGGTAAAGCTATGAATTAAAATGCAATTATATTTACCGAAATCATTAAAAATTTATTATGGACTTTTCGTCAAAGTGCATACGAGACTTTTGGAGTGATTTGCTCTCGAGAAATATAATTGTATGTTTGGTAATAACACAACAGTTAGGCTGAGATTATAAATGTAGATGTCTATCTCTTAATCTGTTACGTCCATTTTCTATAAACTTGATAACACTGCCTTGCATGCGATCTTGGTGCATAGGCACTTGTGAAGGACAACAGCAATGGATTTATTTAGGATTTTGAAGCTGACAAGTTTTCAAAATGGTGCAATGAGATAATTTGAAATTACTGCGCGGTTTCAGTTATAAGCGTATAATTATATATGATATAACTGCACGGTCTAGTGGGCCCACCAGGTACTCATCAGGTGTTCTTTTATTGAAATGACAGAAAAACAATTGAAACACTGTCTTATAATTCCTGAAAATATTTTAACAATGAAGTAATTATTGTCGAATATATGAAAATATTATACAGTGTATAATTCAGTCCCAAGGCTATTATTGCAGTGAATGGTCTTATAAATTAAGGTATGTTTTTGTAGAACTTTTCACATTATTTGTATTAAAAATATGTAGCATAATTATAGATGTTTTTAAAAATATCGAAGAGCAAATCACTCCTGCACGGATAGTGCTTTGGATTTTCGAATATCTGAACATTTTATCATTTGACTAATTTCTGAGAATTTAGTCGTACATTTGCGAATTTATTTTTGTTAGTCAAGGAATATTTTTTTGTTACTTTCAATGTTGTGGTGAAGCTATATGCAGTAATTAAAATGCAATTATATTTAATAAAAAATTATTTTTTAAAAATATTCGTTCCAGAGCAGTCTTCAGAATCTATATTTACTGAGGATAAAATTTCGTTAAAATACATAGACAAATATAATGGCAATCCGTCGTATTCTCACGAGTTTCTAATTCAGTGCTAAAATTCTTGGTTTTGTGGCCTATTTTTTAGACTTACATGCATGGACTTTTATGATTGGACTTTTTGAGAATTTTTGTCGTACATTTGCGGACTTATTATTGTGCACGGTTAATCAAGGAATATTTTCTTGTTATTTTCAATGATCTTGTCAAGTTATGCAATAAAATACAATTATATTTCCCGAAATCAATAAAAATTTATTATGGACTTTCGTCAAAGTGTATACGAGACTTTTGGAGTGATTTGCCCCTCGAAAAATATAATTGTATGTTTGGTAATAACACAACAGTTAGGCTGTGATTTTAAATGTAGATGTCTATATCTCTTAATCTCTACGTCCATTTTCTATAAACTTGATAACACTGCCTTGCATGCGATCTTGGTGCATAGGCACTTGTGAAGGACAACAGCAATGGATTTATTTAGGATTTTGAAGCTGACAAGTTTTCAAAATGGTGCAATGAGATAATTTTAAATTCCTGCGCGGTTTCAGTTATCAGCGTATAATTATATATGATATAACTGCACGGTCCAGTGGGCCCACCAGGTATTCATCAGGTGTTCTTTTATTGAAATGACAGAAAAACAATTGAAACATTGTCTTATAATTCCTGAAAATATTTTAACAATGAAGTAATTATTAGTGTCGAATATATGAAAATATTATATCAGTATATAATTCATTCCCAACGCTATTATTGCAGTGTATGGTCTTATAAATTAAGGTATCTTTTTATAGAACTTTTCACATTACTGTATTAAAAATAGGTAGCCACGATTATTGATTTCTTAAACATAGATGTTATTAAAAATAACTTGAGAATTTTGTCGGACTCTTGTGGATTATTTTCGATGTTTCTTCCAGAGGCGTCTCAGAATCCATATTTACTGAGGCGAAGGTTTCCAATCGCTACGATTTCTATTATTATAGTTCGTCTTCACAGATGGTCTGTCTCAACTGTAAATCGCGCAATTAATGTTAATTAGCCTTTCTCACGGCCGATTTTCCCGCCATTTTGTGATACTGCCTCTCCCACGTTAGAGAGTCTCCGCACCAGGAAATACAACTTTTTAGTATTCTAGTTGATTGTATAATGGTAAATTTACAGTTACAACTTTTAAAAGTCGCTATTCACGTTCTTTGAATTGTCTAGAATCTTTGACGAGGGCAGAGAATACCCCAAAATGGCGGATTTTGGCCTTCGTGAGAAAGGCTTATTGGCTTAAATGTTTGGATTTTTTATAGGAAATTTGTTTAATCCTCGTCAAATTGTGAAAAATGAAAGTTTTGTTACCTTTCGTTTGTGTTGTTGTGTTCGTTGCATTCACGTCAGCAGATATTGTGGGAGGTATGTATCATCCTTCATACAAACTTGTGAAACTATTAAAGCGCAGGGTTTTCAAACTGGATATATCTCAACCAGTAAAGACCATCTCGTATTGCTTCAATTCTGCTACAGGAGGCAATCGTATACACGGGCAATGTTTTAAGTAAAATTTGAAGTACTTGGAATCGAAGCCAGTTATATTGTAGTACTACCCCTTACCGCTGAGCTAATCCTGCTACTGTTGGTCGAGACTTGGAGATTTCTTTATGGGTTAAGGGACTGTGCTTCGAGGGTTTTTCTTCGAGTTTTTCCACTAAAAACAAGATCTTAGGTGTTAGCCGTTGTCAAGCACGTTTGTCATGAGCCTCTGGTTCGGGTGAATTAGGCAACCACTCCCTGTGTAATCAATATTAAACAACGCGTTATCAATAATCATTAAATGACTCATTATATTTAAAGATTCAGCCAATGGTACGGAGTTATCTCTTGACAAACGTCGAACATGTCCCACCGTTACGTTCCCGTGTTCTCGTATGGTAAAAATTTGTGCGAACATTCGACGGGCCATTAAACGCGGCAAACCAAAACGTCTACATCGCATCAAGAACAGAAGAGCCATACGTAATAACGCACGTCTCTCTAAATGCCGAAGATTGTATAGAAGACGCTTTGGGTGTTCCCGGTATCCCTTTGCTACAACCAAAGAAGGTACAAAGTATTCGCATTAAGGAAATGTCCGGACAGGAGAGGCGACCCGTGATTGAGAGGTTTCCTTATTAGAGTAGTGACCATATTGGAGAGGTGTCCTCATGCACAGATGCCCGTATTAGAGAAGTTTCTGTATTAGAGAGGTTTCTGTATTAGAGAAGTGTCCGGATTAAAAAGGTGTCTGGATTAGAGAGTTGCCAATTAGAGAGATTTCCGTATTAGAGAGATATCCACATTTAAGAGGTACCCAAATTAGAAAGCTTTTTGTATTAGAGTTGTGTTCGCATAAAAGGTGTGTCTCTATTAGACACGTGTCTGTATTAGATGGAGAAGTCTCCGTATAAGAAAGGTGCCTGGATAACAGAGATGTGTTAGCATCAGAGGGTGTACATATTAGAAACGCGTGTCTGAGTTAGAGAGGTGTCCGTAGTGAAGAGACGAACGTATTAGACCGATGTGTCTGTATTAGAGCGGTACCCGTATTAGAGAGATGAGAGATGTCTGTATTAGAGAGATGTCTGTGTTAGAGTGGTGTTCGTATGTATTAGATGGAGAAGTCGTATAAGAAAGTTGTCTAGATGACAGAGATGTGTCAGTATCAGAAGGGTGTACGTACTAGAAAGTTTGTCTGTATTAGAGAGGTATATGTATTAGATGGAGAAGTCGTATAAGAAAGTCGTCTAGATAACAGAGATGTGTCAGTATCAGAAGGGTGTACGTACCAAAAAGTTGTCTGTATTAGAGAGGTGTCCGCAGTGAAGAGACGAACGTATTAGAAAGGTGTGCGTATTTGAGCGGATCTGTATTCTTGATTATTACTTTTGGCATTCAGCCTTTCAGAGTCGTTTTTAACCATGACCATTTTATTCATTTTTTTCAGGTGGAAAAGGTGCTTTTAAAACGCGTGTCCCAAGAAATGAAGTTAAAAGACAACGTATACTGTTGTCCCGTTTTTATAAAAATCATCGGATTGGTAATGGTGGCTGTTTCAAGGTCAAACTGGGTAAATAATCTTCCTTCAGGCCTACTGTGAGATAGTATCTCACCTTAAATCCCCTTTAGTCGCTCTGACCCTCTTTAAATCACATATCACTCGCTTTGTATTGGTTGTCTTTTATTTCATACTTAAGTCGTCCTAATTGACATCAATTTGCCTTAAATCACTGTAATTCGCCTTAAATCACCTTAACTCGCCTTAAATCGCTTTAAGTCGCCTTAAATCGTTTAAGCGCCTTTCATTGAATCACCTTAACTCACCTCTCGTGGTGATTTAAGGAGCCAGACGTACCATCTCAGGGTAGACCAATCTCAAATAGGGATGGATTAAATTTCCTCACAAACTTAGTACGTTTACGGATTTTGTCTAAGAAATCTTTTTTGTCATATTTTCGTTTAAATACTTATATATTTTAAGTTTCAAGTTTATCTTGTACTTGTATAATTTTCGTTTGTTGAGGAACGAAATAAAACAGTTGAATAAACATAAAATGTTGTGGTTTTTAACACTTGGGGAAACAGAAATATCGGCACATCACTGCCTACATCCAAACCTTGCAATTAATAACGCCATCTCTTTATGCCACAGCTTACACTCGGTATTAAAATACTACCCAACTTTAAAAAATATGAAATACTAAACTTTCTGACAAGCAAAAACGAAGTCACAGATAACGAAAAACAATTTATATTGAATAACCGTTACCATTTTCTTGCGATTACCGCTCCAATTAGTGGATTGTTTGGTGAGATCATGCAGGCATTGTTCTGGGTCCACACTCTGTTGAAAGAAATGTCGATACGAGCGAGTATTTCCGAATCATACGCCGGCAACGTTGTACAGTCGGAGACATTCGTGTTCACAATATCGATGGAGATGACATGTGGTGGCAGCAAATGGCAACTGATCCAAAATTATTTCGATTGTATGATTTCACGGGCAAGACGTTGCATTCGTGCTGGGGGACATGCGTTTGCTGATGAATAGACAATTGTTTTGAACCATAAGCGTGAACGTGCTGACTATAGAGTGTAATGCATCTCAACAGAAGTTATTGTTGTATTAATATTTAATAAGCCATTTTTAGCTAATTGCGTCAGTTCCAAAAATGTTTACTCCTGCTTAAGTGCATGTATCTTTGACAATATGGCATCGAAATGGGCATGGCATATATCAAAATTTAAGTTGGATATCGCTGAATGCCATTAAACTTGTTTTAGTGTTATTGCTTTTTTAGTTTTGATTTTGCAGCAATTCAAGCAGTCGTACTTTTTTTTGCCCCACCCTGTAGATCAAATTTAAATATCCGTAATAGAGAGCAGTGGTTCGGTTATGGCGCGCATTGCAAGCCCGATAAGGACGCACGCCTACAACTAAGGACGAGCGCACAAACGAAAATGGGAAGACGAGAAATTCCTCCCCTTCGCATCTTTCCGCGCGTTTCCTTCGCATCTTGCCATTAATTATTCGTTTTTTTCTAATTATTTGTTAGCAAGAAAGCGCAAACGAAGATGCCCCACCATCACGTTCCCGTGTTCTCGTTTGCGAAGTGTTTGTGCGAACATTCGACGGGCCATTAAAGGCGGCAAACCAACACGTCTACATCGCATCACGAACATAAGAGCCATAAAGAGAAACAAACGTCTCGCTAAATGCCTTGGCAGTAGATGTGCCCAATATCCGTTTGCTACAACCAGACAAGGTACGGAGTATCCGCATTAAAGAAATGTCCACCCACGAGAGGCGACCCGTGATTCAGAAGTTTCTTTGTTAGAGTAGTGACCATATTGCAGAGATGTCCTCATGGAGAGATTCCGTATTATAGAGAGGTTTCTGTATTATAGAGGTTTCTGTATTAGAGAGGTGTCTGGATTAGAGAGGTTTCTGTATTAGAGAGGTGTCCGGATTAAAGAGGTGGATTAGAGAGGTACCCATTAGCTGTGATCCTTGTAGAGCAATAACTCTGCAAAGCCTTGCTTGGATATCCATATTTAAGAGGTACCCAAATTAGAAAGGTTTTTGTATTAGAGAGGTGTTCGTATAAGAGAGGTGTCTGTATTAGATGGAGCAATCACGGTATAACAAAGGTGTCTAGATAACAGAGATGTGTCAGTATCAAAGGGGTGTACATATTAGAGAGATGTCTGTATTAGAAAGGTGTCCGTAGTGAAGAGACAAACGTATTAGAAAGGTGTGTCTGTATTAGAGCGGTACCCGTATTAGAAAGATGTCTGTATTAGAGAAGTGTCCGCAGTGAAAAGACGAATGTATTAGAAAGGGGTGTCTGTATTTCAGCGGTACCCTTATTGAAGAGATGTCTGTATTAGAGAGATGTCTGTATTAGAGAGATGTCTGTATTAGAGAGGTCTCCGCAGTGAAGAGACGAACGTATTAGAAAGGGGTGTCTGTATTTCAGCGGTACCCATGTTAGAGAGATGTCTTCGTAGTGAAGAGACGAACGTATTAGAAAGGTGTGTCTGCATTACAGCGGTACCCTTATTGGAGAGATGTCTGTATTAGAGAGATGTCTGTATTAGAAAGGTGTTCGCAGTGAAGAGACGAACGTATTAGAAAGGCGTGCGTATTTGAGTGGATCTGTATTGTTGATTATCACTCCTGGCATTCAGCCTTTCTGAGTCGTTCTTAACCATGAACATTTTCTTCATTTTTTAGGTGGAAAGGGCGCTTTTAGAAAGCGTGTCCCATGGAAAGAACGTGTTTTACAACGTATGGGGTTGCTCAATTTTTTTAGAAGAACGAAGATTGGGAATCGTGGCTGTTTCAATGTCAAACTCGGTAACTAAATCTTCCTTTAGGCTTACTCTGAGATAGTATTTCGCCTTAAATCCCTTTTAGTCGCTCTGAGCCTCCTTAAATAACATATCACTCGCTTTGTATTGATTGTTTTATCTCACGAAACTTACTGTTTTATTATAAGTAATAGCATAAAAAGAAGCGAATTAGCTATTAAAACGTCCCGCCCGATGAGGGTCGTTTAGTATAATTCCCTTGGGCGCCGCTCGATGAGGGTCATTTAGTAAAATTCCCGAGGGCCGAAGGCCCGAGGGAATTTTACTAAATGACCCGAATCGAGCGGCGCCCAAGGGAATTTTACTAAACGACCCTCATCGGGCGGGACGTTTCAATAGCTAATTCGCTTCTTTTTATGCTATTACCTTATAATATCATGATTGGCGGGTATTCCCGTTGGCGTTGTTCTCGCATTAAAAACCAATTAACAATAAATAATGGTATAAATTAAATGGTATAATTGTTTTCCCTGTCTTTGTTTAGTTTTGGCGATTTCAGATATCTTCATTTATATTCATTTTTTCTAATCGTACCCGCTTTGACGTCGTTTCGGGTAGGATTAGAACTAATTCTACTTGACATGACGTAAAAGCGGGTAGGATTAGAAAATATGAATATAATGAGGTGTATTAGTTTTTAATTGCCCTGCGAGAACAAAGGGAATACCCGCAATCATGATATTATTCTATATAAACTTAAGTCATCCTAATTGACATTAACTCGCCTTGAATCGTTTAAGCGCCTTTCATTGAATCACCTTAACTGACCTCTCGTAGTGATTTAAGGCGCCAGACGTACCGTCTCAGAATAGGTCAATCTCAAATATGGATGGATTAAATTTGCTTACAAACTTAGTACGTTTACGGGTTTTCTCTAAGAAATCTTTTTTGTCATATTTTAACTTTCGTTTAAATACTTATATATTTTAAGTTTTAAGTTTATCTTGTACTTGTACTTGTATAAATTTCGTTTGTTAAGGAACGAAATAAAACAGTTGAATAAACACAAAATTTTGTGGTTTTTAACACTAGCATGGGGAAACAAAAATATCGGTGCATCACTGCCTACATCCAAACCTTGCAATTAATAGCGCGATCTCTTTATGCCACAGCTCACACTCGGTATTAAAATACTACCCAACTTTAAAAAATATGAAATACTAAACTTTCTGAGAAGCAAGAACTATGTCGCAGATAACGAAAAACAATTTATTTCAAGTTATTTTTTTCCTTTTTTTACTTGTGCTAGTTTCTGTTTTCGTTTCTTTACATGTTTTGGCGTTTTTGTTTTCCTTCGTTCTCTGTTCCCTTCCTTTACTGATTTCTTGTGTTCCTAAAAAGAATTTGCTTAAATCATTAAGTGGTTTAAATTTTGATGTCTTCTTTATATATACATGAGCTTCTTGTGACCTTTCATTCATGCTAAATAATACTACATTGCATTTCATTGTTCAGATTTTTACCCATTAGCGACTTTAGTGGCCAAATTTAATGTTATATCATGTACTTAGCCCAGTCTACACTGGACCACCACGTTTGAGATATTTTTCACTAGAGGTAGTTCGGACACGAACCGCGGCAGCTTATTGTAGAATAGCTACTATCTACACTGGACCACCACGTTTAACCCAAGTTTGAGATATCTTTTTCAAGTAGTTCAAACACAAATCACGGCAGCTTATTGTAGAATTATTATACTACCTACACTGGACCACCATGTTTGAGATATCTTTTTCAAGTAGTTCAAACACAAACCACGACAGCTTATTGTAGAATACCACCTACACTGAACCACCACTTTTATGCAGAAAAGATCAATACTCCGGGGACCAAAACACAATGAAAAGCCAGTAAAGGAAGACGACGTACCTTTCTTTGTAATTTTCTGTCTTCTTTGCTCAAGTTTGAAATGTTTTCTGTTTCCTCGTTTTCCGATGTTGAACAGGAACTTTCGTTCTCTTCACGGCATTCTGAAGAATCATCTTCACATTTCTCTTGAAATAACCCGGGTTGCTGAAATCAACAATTACAGCAGTTCCTTTATTCCCGATATAGCTTAAATGTTGTATCTAGAGGTCCAGTAAGAGCCATCCCTTTTAGTCCAGTGTTATTATCAGAGGTGGAAAATTTTTTTTGAGATTTGTTTTATGTGGAGACTTGTTTTATGTTTGATAGCTACGGTACGTTCTTCCAAAGTCATCCTTACCTGTTGGGTCCCAGAAAGGTCCGCTTTCATTCCAGTTAATGTTCTGTATAGTATCTAGAAACATAGAAATTCCACATATAACAAATAAACAGCGCATTATTAACATACTGAAAGAAAGAATGTTAAGGTTATAGGACACCCTTTTTGGCGTTTTGCGGAAAATCGCTACTGCGCGCTCAATATCAGTCCGATTTTCATCAAATTTTCACCAAATGTTCTCCAGTGCATGCAAAATATGGTAAAGTTGTAAAATTAACAAACAATAAAATAATGTAAGAATTATTCAGGAAAATCTTAAATCGCGGTACCTTTACGCTTTTGAGTTGTGCTCCTGCTGGTTTTAAGTTATATTTATGAAAATATCATTTTTACACAGTAAAATAGTTGTTCTAAAAAATTGTGTTCGGAAATTTTTGTTTATTTCGTCATTCCGCTGATATGGCGATTTCTTTGACGACTGCAATATATTTCTGAATTGTTTGAGTGAATTGCTCTTTATTTTTAAAATATCCAAAATTTAAAAAAAGCCGAACACAATTTTGAAACTGATGTATTTAGCTATGTCCTGTGAAAATTTGAGAAAAATTGGTTAAAACCCGCAGGAGCACAACTTGTTTGAAAATCAGTAATTACCGTAAAATGTTTCGGGAGAAAATTGAATTTGAATATTACATTTTCAATGTTTTCCTTATTGCAGCGAAATGTATTTTACTAAATAACTTTCTACATTTTTCGTTCAAACTTGGTCAGATAGTAGAACTAGTCTAATGCTTTCATTGAAACCAATAAAAAAAATTTAGGCAAAATTAACACTCAAAGGTGTTCTGTAACCTTAATTCTATATAAGTAAGTTGGTGTACGCTAATAATCCTTACTGTACTTACAGCTGAGAGTTAAGCTGAATTACGAAGGATGCAGCTTAAACTGATCGAGTCGAAGGTTTTCTAAGGGCGCCTCTGGCAGCCACCTTATGACTCATGTCTGATCACGGAGTACAGCTACGGTGGAAGGGTCAGTTAGGGGCTTGTCCCAACCCACCCTGTCGAGATTCCCTGTGGGGGTCCTCGGAGAGAACCCACGACTTTTGGCAGAGCGTCGACTAACTCTTTTCACGTAAGTGTCATGGGTCCGTAGCGAGAATGAAACCCACACACGACTGCGCCACACACGGTGAAAGAAAAGACGTTATTCCTATACCTCCTGCGTGTCACCTTGCCTCGCTTTCTGCATGTCGTTTTCGAAATCCAGGACAGCTTCCAAAGTTCGTGGAATAAACGCATTCTTAAACACCTGAAATAAATAATTCAATCTGTTTTCTGAACCTGGAAGATCTTTTTGTTTTAACTGTTTCAAATGTTTATCTTCTTTGTCAATCACTTTCTGATGCAAGTAGTACATACCTCCTCTTTTACTTCATCTTCTGCATTCTTTTTCTCTTCTTCCGAACGAGACAAAGCAACTTGCTGAGCCTAGGCAAAAATTTAAAATTCAAACAAACTTAGCACATCATGAAGTATCCCACCAGGGCGGTATCCCATCGTGCAAAAATACACGTCAGACCTCACTTCCGCGCGTTAAATACCGCTGCACGATCTGCACACAGTTCTAAGTGGGTTTTTTTAGCCAAACACGATTATATCGTTCCACCTTCATGTTTATCATCGACCTCTACTCATGGTTTCCAAACTGACTCTTCGTCTTTGGAGGCAATGAATTCATACTTAACGAGATTTCGGGTATCTCACATGAGCGATGACGTAAATAATTCTACTGCTTTACATGCATTGGGCTGGGAGCCACTCGAAACAGAAAAGAAGAAAGCTAAAACAAAAACGATGTATAAACTATTAAATAATATTGGTCCCAAATCACTCACTAATCTTTCTTCATACAAAAATGAGAAAATAAAGTAATAAACTACAATCTTTGGGACATTTCAAGCGGTCTTAGTTTACCAAAACCGCGTACTAACAACATGAAAAATAGTTTTATGTATGTAGCTCATGTTAGAGCGCTGCAGAGGGGCATAGAGATGCATTTTCCTGCCAGAGGGCATAGAGATGCATTTTTCGCAACTGCACCTGGTTAGGTGTGAAAATGTACAAATATATAGCCTTCCGCTCAAAATATTCATCTACAAAAAACCCTTCAATTAATATTTAAATCGAGTCAATATCCAAATACTCTCACGTGTGACAACTGACCTTTTCTAAATATTCCTCGAGATTATCTTCAGTGATATTCGGATCCGTGACGAAATCAAACGTTTCTCGAACTGTCATTACGCAAACACCATTCTTTCGGAAAAATTCTGAGAAAGACAAACAGTTTATACTGTATAAACAAAGAAAACAAGATCCCGTCGAACAATACGTCCTGGTATATAACCGATCAGATCCCATTTATGCTTCGCACATTTCGGATAACTCCCATCCCTAGCTATACCATTGTTTTAGATAGTGTAAACATATAGAACGTTTAAGCTATCAAAGTTTCTGTTATCACAGTAGGAATTTTGCATATACGGTAAGTAAATTCTAAGTTTTGACGATTTGTAAGAAATGTTTGAGTATGCTGACTCAGTTCCCTGGAACAAGTTGTTATAACCTTGTTACAAGGTTGATGACGGTAATTCACAGACTTGCTACAAGTTGTTCCAACAAGACTAATACAGTCTGTTCGTAACAGGTTGCTACGAGCTTATTGTCATCAACTTGTTGACAACTTTTCTTTTTATGTGCAGACGATATCACACTTGTTGGAACAAAAAGTCTGTTGGCCTCACCAACCTTGTTGACAGGCTGTAAGATTTTTACGCGTGTACCTGAAATATTGGTACAATCTTTCCGCAGGAATTCCAGGGCATGTGGATGATCATGTTCTACTGATTGAGAGACATCGATTATGTAGATTCCGTCATTGTGATAGCTTGAAAAACAAACAGAGTTTTTACACAAGTCGACTGAATGACGAATGAGGGTATATGAAATATCAAAGAAACTGATCAATCAAGAAGTATATATACAGGGTGTATCAAAAGAAACTGAACAGATTTAAAATTGCTCTCAATTTCGCAAAACAGCTATTTGTAGCTGGGTTTTTATATATATAGCTTCTTTGGGTACTTATAATGTAAAATAATGAAAAAAATTTCTCGAACTTAAATTTTGTGAACCAGGGGGGTGTGTCTTTTCCAACAAACTAAAAATGGCTCGCGCACAAAATTTAAAAGCTGCAATCATATTTTGAGTTAACAGATGAAACGTTTGTCGGGATTTTAATTACTGCATGTACAAAATTTCAGACAATTTGGTTTAGTTTAAGCCCCTTAACTATTCACGCAAAGTTACAATTTTCCCGAAAAATCAGCTATTTGCATGCTTAATTAATGCATTTGCCTAATTTGCATATGTCAGCAATATGCAAATTAGGTAAAGGCATTAATTAAGCATGCGAAAGGCTGACTTTTTAGAACAAAATGAATAGTTAAAGGGCTTAAACTAAACCAAATTGTCTGAAATTTTGTACAGTAATTAAAAACCCGACAAATTTTCAATCTGTTAACTCAAAATATGATTACAGCTTTTAAATTTTGTGCGCGAGCCATTTTTAGTTTGTTGGAAAAGACACACACCCCTGGTTTACAAAATTTGAGATCGAGAAATTTTTTTCAATATTTTACATTATAAGTACCCAAAGAAGCTATATATATAAAAAACCAGACACAAATAGGTATTTTGCAAAATTGAGAGCAATTTCAAATCTGTTCAGTTTTTTTTTATACACCCTGTAGTGTGTAATCCAATTTCAACACCCTCTTACATTATATTAAACTCGCTGAGATCTGCATGAACGAGTCTCGCTTTCCAAAAAATATTTCTCGTGATTTTTATACATTGTAAGTACAACTCTCTTGCTTTAGACTCCGTTAGATTGACATCTTTGAGAAGGGGAGAAGGCCTGTAAAAAAATACAAGGCAAATAAACATTGATTTTTGTCCGGTAGCTATTAGCAAAAATAAAAAATAAAAATGTTCAAATATTTGCACAGCAAGCTTTCAAATCCTTATCGTTTGCTTGGGGCTTACATATCAGAGTTAACCTACCATCCGTTTGTGCCAAGAAATTCCATGACAAGAACATGGCTGCGCAACAAAATGGGTTCCGGACATGGAATACCAGCTTTATACAACCTAAAACCGTTATGTACAGTAAGGTGGATAACGAGAAAATTAACGCATTAACCATAGCACTGGAAAAAAAATTGAAAATCCATAGAACGTCATAGAATGGAAATTGTATGGACCTTAATTTATTGGAAATAGAATGGATTTTGGTTATCCATAATAATTGTATATTTCTATACTATGCATGGATATAATATCGATTGGAAATGGCCTGGATATACTATGGATTTAGTGGTGCAATTGCAAATTTCGTAGTATGGATTTGACAGTTTCTTCCCAGTGTAGAAAAACACACGACTTCAGATACCTAGACAAAAGACGAATAAAAATGTATGATTACATCAAGTTGATATACTGCAAACATGTCGTGAAAATAACCCCATACATAAATTGGTTGTTTAACCATTTTGTGTTTACAGTGTACCTTGTAAGATTTCTCATCTCTTTCTCAGCCCATGTTCGAACCATTTTCCTCGGATTATGACGACAATATCCATGACGAAATCTAAGGGAAAAAACTCTCATATTATGGAGTTAAGTTTCCATGCCCGGCGAATATCTCCGCCTATAACGTAGATGATAGCCGATTGTTTCTCAAAATTCAATAATTTCGGAAACCCGTCTTGCTACAGAAATGTCCAGGAGGCTTTTAATTAGTACTTTCTAAAGCATAAATTTTACACGATAATCTTTATTGAATGTTTTGGATAATGTGACGAAATCATCTCAAAAACAACTCTTCCAAGTGGTTGGAAATGCCTGCTTAATGCATTGGGCCTACATTTCAAAACGTTCAGTGTACATTCGGCACCAAAGAGCCGCCTATACGTATTTCTTTCAAAAAGCTTCTACTCCATATTCTATTGGGAACCCTGAGTCCATTCCAGTGGATGTAACTTAGCGCTTGCCTAGATCTAGGGCAAGTAAAAAACATTACGGGCAAATAGAACTTGCTGTTTGGTTGCCCGATGGGGCAAGTTGTTTTAATTATGTTTTCCCAGAAACTAATTGCTACACAAAATTGTTTGTTTGTTTATGTTACGCATTCTGTTTTAATTGATTCTTTATTAGTAAATCAACTGAAATCAACACTTCATGATTAAGTCTTCAAATGAGTTCGTTAAAGAAAACATATAGAATGTTGATTAATAAATATATCCTTACTGCAATAATTTGCTTCAAATTTTGTTAATATGCGAGGGCAAAGCTGGACCTGATGGCAAGTTAATTTTATTCTGGGTACGTACAGTACCAATTTTTATGTCTAACTTGCCGTAATCGGAAGTGGTAAAAATATCTCATGTTTTTCTCCCGACAAAAGACCTTAATTTTTTATATACGAGTATTATTTCCGTGTCTATTTTTTTCCACGTTCTACCACTGCACGGACAGTTCTGTCCTCACCTGAATTCACCAGTAACGTATTTGTCTCGATCTTTAAAGATCAAAATGGACGTCTTGTAAACCTGGCGAACAAAAAATTAAGAAATAGAAATAATGAAGAGAAGACTTCGATAACCAAATAAAGAACACATCATTTTTATACCTTGACTGCCCGTTCTGTTCCTTCTTTCGCTGAAGCGTGATACACATTGGCCTTGGAAATAAAAAAAAATTAGACTGAGTTCACACTGCACACGTAAAAATTGTCACAACTTGTCAACAAGATGTGTCTGCAACAGGTTTGTAGCAAGCTTGTCAACAAATTGTAACAATGCTGTTATTTTATCAAGTTGCTACAAGGTTGTCACTCACAACTTATCGACAAATTGTTGAATTGCAGGACGATAACAAGTTGTTGGAACAACTTGTAACACGTCTGTTGAGCTCAACAACCTTGTAGCAAGTTGTCAACAAGCTGGGAACAAGCAGTGCGAACACATCCTGTTGACAAGTTGTTGGAGCAGCATTGCTACAAGTCTGCTGCAGGTTTGTTACAACTTGTTCGTTTTTACGTGTGTACCTCCTTGCCAGTACTGATGCAACCATTTATCTCAGTGATAAAATTGCGTGACAACAATTTGAATATGATCATTCTTGTGCGAGGATCGAGCACCTAAAAAAAGTCACGAAAAAAAAAGGTACCAATTTTCGTTAAAACATGACAAAAAATGAAATTTTCTAAGTGTAAAAAACAAACTAATTTACCTGTTCCATTGTGGCGCGATCTGACTTGTCTTTTACACGAATTCTACGTCATAAAAATCGACATCGTTTATGTTTCATACTTTCATTTATTGTAATTCTACGATCGAATTACTCACGTAAAAATCTCACAACTTGTCAACAAGATGTGTTCGCAACAGACTTGTAGCAAGCTTGTCAACAAGTTGTAACAAATGTTATTTTATCAAGTTGCTACAAGGTTGTCACTCACAACTTGTTGACAAACTGTTGAATTGCAGGACGATAAAAAGTTGTTGGAACAACCTGTAACAAGTCTGACGTGAGTGTTGAGCTCAACAACCTTGTAGTAACTCATCAACAAGCTGGGAACAAACATTGTGAACACATCCTGTTGACAAGCTGTTGGAACAGCATTGCTACAAGTCTGCTGCAGCTTTGTTACAACTTGTGCGTTTTTATGTGTGCAACTTATACAAAACTCAATATTAATACCTTCCATTTTCTCGTCTTTTTTCTGATTCAATCAAGATGTTTGCAGTGGTGTTGGGTAGCTTGGGGCCTTCGTATTTTTCTACACAATTTCAACAAAAGAATATATATCATTCATGTTTGCAAAATTTGGGTGTTCTCTTTATAAAATCACATTGTACCTATTCGAATCTTGTTGTTGAACTTTTGCCAAGCTTTCTCGTTTGGCTAAATGGTAAAATAATTTCAATAACAATATATTTTCGCTTTTATTATTGAAGCAATTGCATTTACTATAATAATACATTTCTCATTTGAGTAAATTTCAAATGTAATTTTTTCACCTGGTATGACTGGTTTTGACTGTTGCATTTATTGACATTCTGTTAACACAAAAAGCAGATTAGGCAATTAATTGCAAGATCTTTATAATTCTAATAATTGCCAAGATATAATTTAACAAAAAAAAGATGATCACAATACCATGTTCATTTGATTTTTGCTTGCATTGTAATTCTTTGTCAGATCTAAAATGACCATAACAGTATAATTAACTTATAAAATGTGTGATCTAATATGTACAACTTTACAACCTTCAGGTAAAAACTATAAGTTTGTGAGTTGTTGAGTCAAATTGTGCAATGAAACACCCTACTTTATAATTATTATTTTCTGTCTAATGCAAGATTTTATTCATCAAGGGGAGAGTGCTGCTGCTCAATGGGTTAAAATAAAATAAAATGTGATGAGCATGACACGTTTCAAATGAATATTCAATATCCCATGCACCTCCACTTTGTTCCTGCCAGTCCCAATCGTCAAAATCTTCATCGTCACTCTCATCATCATCAACATCCATGTTTTCAAAATCATGTTTGTCGACTGACATGGACCCTGTCAAAATATATAATTAACAGAATGTTAGATTGATCTGTCACTACATCCACATATCTTACGGATTATCTCAATAGTGAATGTCAATCTTAAGTAGAGACATCCAAGAGGAACTATCAACAGAAGATGAACTAGCCAAACACACTGACAATGGTAAAATTAAATCATGCTTGATACATAAAATTCTATATATGGTACTTCATCTAATGACAAGAAAGCTTTGGATTGTTAGGGATATACAACTACCGTACCTGAAAAATACAAGGAGAACTTTGACGTTTCGAGCGAAGGCCCTTCGTCGGGAAGTTATACCTTTGCTCGAAACATCAACTGAAGGTTCTCCTTGTATTAATCTTACTACTGTATTGGTACGTACTTACACTGCCACAGATCATTCAAGATTTCATCTAATGACGTCTACATATATTTGACTGAATGATGACGTCTACATATATTTGACTGAAACTTCGATCAGGCCGAGTGTGACTCGGAACATTCAGTAATCGGCAAATCCTGATTGTGGCATGATCAGTCAATCAGTGATGTGTTACAGAGTGTGACGTCACATTGGTGTTACATGTATTACCCTACTGTATTTACCCTGATCACCCAGCTGTTTATATTCTCAAGTGAATGTAAATATGTACCTTGTGGTCGTCTAGCATATTCAATATTGATCACAGCATTTCTCTGCTCATTATCACTATAAATACAACACACATTACTATATATACAGGGACTGTCTACAAATAGAGTTTGTCTCGCTTCACAAATTTGTTTCACGATTGCTTTCAAGTCTTAACCCCTCCCCCCCCCCCACCCCACCCTAATGCAGATGTTTTTTTACAACTTAGTTTGCAAAAGTCAGTTTTCCAGCAGCTGGTGAGCTAGACAATTAGGTTATGGAAAAAAAACTACATGCTGTGTACAATCTGTTAATAATACAAATTAAAGTTAGATTTCTAAATTTTCATAAAATAAATCAACTTCAGCCCCAAACCTAACCCTAAAACAGGGACCGCGGAGACGGGGGGGCTGGGGGGGCTTTAGCCCCCCCACTTTTTTTGACAGCCAAAATTATTAAAATAGAAATCTAAATGAAACTTTCTAAATTAATTAATTGGGGGTTTTATTGATGATTTAGCCCCCCCACACCACTAGTGAAGTCACTGAAAAGCATTTACAAAAAAACCTTTTCGCCATGGTTATATTGTTCAGACACCGAAACTTTAAGTTATATATAGCTATAGATCCAACAAAAGTGTTTTCTGTATGTAATTTACATAAACATGCTAAAATGCAGGGCCGTTCCTAGTGTGATGATTGGGGGAGGGGGTCATATATTCATATATTTGTGTTCTGCCTGACAGATTTCTTTTGAAAGCGATTGTTTTTTACGGTACCGTATGTGAACATGAATATACGAATATACACCCCTCCCCTGCGGCACTGCTAAAATGATACCAAATAGATTTGGTTGTTTTCAAGCAATTCCTCGATAGTCGAGTGGTTAAGGCCTTGCATGTGCTATTGCCCGGATCAAATCCCAGAGCGGAATTTCGATCAAGTGTATGCATGAGTAAGATTTCTTGTACCTATAGTGGCCAGAACAGTTAGGATAAGAACTGGTAGTAAGGCTTAGAATGAAGGACAGGTTTATAAAAAAATTATTGTCAATGAAAACGTGAATATGTATGTACGCATGCGTGATATCTGTCGGATAAATAACCACAACAAATACTTTTTTATTCATTTCGAATTGTTTAGGACAAAATCTGCCCACTCGAACAGACTTGACATCGTAGCTCAGTTGGTAGAGTATTGGACTGGCAAACCAAAGGTCGCGGGTCGCGGTCCCACCGCGTTCAAGCAAACTTTTCAGCTTGCCCGGCGTGAACACACACAGAAACAAATATATCACAAAGGTCCCCATACATATTTACATCCCTAGTATCACACCTGCAGGGCTCCGCGTCGTCGGCGTCGACAGCGTCGTCAAATTGACCTTCTACCACTCCATAACTGTCCGCCATCTTGGCTAAACGAACCCGCGAAATCACTTACATTTTCCAGCAGTTTCATCTTCGTTTCCACTTCGGTCGACTTTCGGGATACCTTCGGATATTTAAATATTCTAAATTTTTCCTAATTTGCAACAAAAATTAATTTTAAAAGAAAAATATTAAATAAGCTCATTTTAGTGGAATTTTTGCCTAAAAGTTTATCCCTCTTAGAAAAACTGCGTCGTTATTTCATTTTCTGATGTTTTATTGTTTTTCTCCGCCAAACGGAAACTGGTACTTCGTTGCCTGTCGTCACTTTTCGTCAGAAGAAAGAGACAGATTTTGAAATCACCAATGTCCACAGCTTCCGACAACATTTCACAGTAGCCGAAGTACTTAGCAGGCAAAAATAATGTGCTTTGAAGCTTTCCTCGCAGGATAAACGCACAAAAAAGCTAGGTAAGTTAATATTCTTTATAACTTTTGCTTTTTTAAATATAAAAAGATGTTTTGATGCCTTTAGGGTGCGTTAGAATATAGCCAATATAAAATTATCTACCGGCTTATCGCTCGACTTACTTGCCAGCATGGCGCTTTATTTCCATGCAACCAAAATTTATTATCAAATAATTTTTTTTGCGGTCGTGTTGTTAAATATTTATATAAAGTTTTGTAACTTTATGTGTTAACCTTGTTAAACAAAGCTGTAGTTTTAAAGGAAATACAGTATTCGCCAATGAATAGCCGACAGACATAAGCTATTTTAGTTTATGATGATTCATATTTGTATATTTTGTGTTTGCCTCCCCAGCGAATGTGGTTTGAATTATGTTATATATAGAGTCCCTCTTTAACAATCAACAAACTAATGACATATATGGCCTTTATTTAGTCAAATTATTATTATATTACTATATAGATATTATACTATCTAGACAACAATATTTCAAGCAAACCGATTTATCGGGTTTTTGTTGTGCAAACAAAGAGTTTCGCTTACCGCCTGTAGTTAGTGTTTTGTCAAAAACAAAGACATCAGGGTAGTGTAACTTCGTCCAAAATAAGGCTTTAAAATATCCGAAACATCATCACTATTTTAAGAAATAGAATATAAAGTTATTCAAAATACTTTTCATTCCAAAATTATTAGGGTATATATTCTAATTTGTAGGTTTTGAAAGCAAAACCGCCGTGTGTCTTTAATATACACATATAATAACTTCCTATATTGGACCTTTCACAGAAAATATTGCCCACCCTGACAATATTTAGTTTATATTCATCATTTTATACTAGAGTGTGTTGTTTGCAAATGTAACTCGATACCCTAACCGCAATACTAATGAACAATTAGAAATATTTACATGATTATTGAATTCCAGAAACAGATAATTAAGTGCATGGCGTGTGTTCTTTGATGGTGCATAACTAATTAAGTTTTAAATGAATACTTGAATTTATGACATTAAAATATTCCGAACAAACTTGGAATGTTTCAATGTTTTGAGAAACACAAGTGGCTAACAGCTCTTGTATTTTTTTTGCAAAGCTTTAACACTATGAAGATTTATGTTTTGTAATCTAGCATAAATCCTGTAATAAGCCCCCGCTCTGTCACAAGAGCTTGATTATATCAGATACCTTCTAAGGCATTTTGTGTTGGAAGGGGCCTTCATAAAGAAGAAGGCTTATCAATTTTAGGGTCATTTTGCCACAGAAATATTGATGAGCTTGTTGATCACAATACAGTTCAATGAAAATGAATACAGTCAATCTGTTCACATGTATGTATTTTAAAAGGAAAATTACTTAACAGGGATGGGCAATGCATTTCTTCCTGTATAAAAAAGGAAAGAGCTTATTTTAGAGAAGTGCTAAGTATATGATTGGTTTATAAGAAATAAAGGTATCAATAAAGAGCCGTGTTGCTAGGGTATATTTTGTAAGATTTTTTTTCAAATTATATAGGCTCTTTTTCTCTTAAGAAATTGTTTGGAGTTGTTTTATACACACATAAAAACTACATCTTATCATGTGTTTGTAACGACAGATGTTTTTAATGAGAAGCAGTGATAACATAATGACAGATTGACTCCTCTGGCTGGTTTGGTGTGATTCTGTGAAAATTTTTACATGGGAAATGTAGTGTTGTTAAAACTGAGATGTGCCATATAATTAACAGAATTTTGTAGTCTTTGTTTAATCCAGGTCTTGGTAGATCAAATTCAAGTACTAGAAACATGACACATTCAAAATATTGATGGGTGATTCACTATTTCTTGTAGGTAGTTTTAACCAACTGTATAAGCTTTAAACAGTGCAATAATGACGGCAAAAGATACAAGACTACCGCGACTTATCCAGGCTGCGGACCGTGGCTTTCTGCTTGCCACGGTGATCAGACTTCATGGCTACAAGGTCGTACAGCAGTCAATGCTTGAGAAAACTGTCAATCCTGAACTGAAGACTATGTTGTCGATTGGTGACGAAATATATCATGTCTGTTCGCCTGTCTTTAAAATCGAAGACGAGGCTCATGTTTGGAAACTGAAGTTTGAAGAATACAGCGAATCAAAAGAATCGTCAGAACCTGAAGCAGACTCGGTCTTTCTTGGGGATATCAGGTTTAAGACTCGGAAAGTTGACGTCACCGGGGATCCTAGTGGATCGCAGTTGAGACAATTGTGTCAGAAGGGGATCATGGAGGACATTCAGAATGTGATAAAAAACTCGGACTTTAATAATGTCTTGTTGAATCTTTGTGATGTTCCCTACCCAAGACCTGAAGATCTCTGCGATAAAGCTTTCTCAAATTCCCTACTCAAACTTCAGAGCATAAACAAACTGTTGGTTGTTCACCCAAAGGTCGATGCTGAGGACTGCGGAATTAAATCAGGACTTGAGGGAACCTGGAATCGTTACTTGGCAACCGACTTGGTTTGCCTTCATTGGAAAAAAGAGGAATGTCAGTTTACAATATTTGAAAAGAAATTTCTAAAACATGTTGTCAAGAACGGTTTCCGTGATAGTGTGGTAAAGGACGTAGCATCTCTGCCAGAATGTGAACAAGAATCCTCAGCCGAAGCAGCGAAGCCAGAGTGCGAAATCGCAAATGAAAAGGAGGAAGGAGGGAAGACAAAGGAAGCAGAAAAATTGGGACCAGAAGAAAAGAAAACTGTCAAACGAGTTGTGAAGAAAGATGACAAATCATCGTTAAAAAAAGAAGATAAAACGTTGAAAAAGGACACACTTAAGAAGGAACTAAAAACGAGTAAGAGTGATTCGGTGCTAAGAAGGGAGCCGAGATTGCCAAAAACCGAGACAACAGCAGCCAAGAGGAATTCCAAAGTATTCAAAACCGATTCAAGGTCGTTGAAAAGTGATGTGAGCCCTAGTCCTAGATCAACACTCAAGAGGGATCAAAAATTAACCAGCCCGAAGACCGCCGGCGATGACCGACGGTTGTCGATGAAATCCGAAGCTAAAACGACTAAGAACGGACAGAAAGTAACAAAAAAGGCGCCCGTTCCATTGCCACAAATGACACAGATCTCCGATGTAAAAGAAGTAGAAAACGATGAAAATAAATTTGAAAAGTACAAGGTGAAAATGCGTGAGACTTATACAAACTTAGCGAATGCGTATAAAACGTACAAAAGCCAGGACAGTCCACTGTTGGCCGAGATTTTTACCCACCCTGTATTCCGAGGCGTTTGTCTTACTATGGTTCTGTTCGCGTTTTACTTCCTATCAACTGAGATTTTAGTCACCCTACTTCTCCTGGCTGCCAGTATATGGTACAAGTACGGCTCCAAGGAACCGGAATTTCAGAAATACACGCGTTCCACCGACCCGCGTGTGCTCGCGTTCCGTGGCATGTACGAAAGAGAAATCGAGAAACTACACTACGCGAAGGATCTGGATCGAATGCGTGATGTTCACGTGCAGCTGAAGGAAAGCGTATTGAATGCGTATGCCGTGACACGTGTGGCACAAGGGGACACGATTGGTATTAAGGAACACGAGGTGTTAGAGAGAGAACTTGAGTTGACATTCAAGGAATTTGTCACAGCAAATGATGTGAAATCACTGCTCCACGAGGCTCATCATACTAGCTTTATTTTAGCTTTTACAATCTTCCTTTACCTCGCATCACGTCTGGTGTACCTTGCCTTGGGCAAAATATGGCGTCCCGTCCGTACTGGAGCGATAATCGTGGCGGGAATTCTGCTCTGCTTTGCTCTTTGTATCATCTCGAATTTTCTACTCACATCTTTCATCTCGCGGCGGTTGGTAGGCTCTGCCGAAATGTTATCGGTCATTTTCGGTCTCTGGTTTGTCACCGACGTCACTGGATTCCTGATCGAGATCCGAGCATGCATCGATCACGTGACTGGTGTAATTTGGCGGGAATGTGAGCTGGAGAGATGTATTATGAAAACACCGAGTTATTTGGTAGTGAAACTCGCATTGGACTGCGCTGTTCTTCTCTCCTTGTTCCCTCTCGCCTATTTCGCCTCCTGCATTTTGTCCTGTTTCTCCGTATCGAGTTACACAATAGTATCATTCTCGCGATTTTTCCCCCCTATCGGGATTCTGTTACGGGTATGTACGCGTCTCGCGTTCCTCGGTGAAATACTACGCGTGGCCAATTTGATAATGTTTGCCAGCCTGGCGTCGAAGTTTTACGGTCTGCATAACAAGAAGGAAGATCCCCTGGATTCGTTCTTATATCGACGAGTTGGTTACGATATGGGCTGCCTGACCGAATATATATGGAAAGGAATTGTTAAATATATTAATGATTTGAATTAATCTTGATCGAAAAATGTGGAAAGGAGAGCAATTTTAATTAAGCCTGGTTTCGAAATGGTCGTAAAAATAGATTCACGATCTTTCTCAACGCCCAGTTTATAATAGTTTATACCTGTAAACCAAAGTATTCTCCAATTATAATCACTCTCACGTATTTTCAGTTCTAAGATGTTGTATTTCGGCTGATGAGAAAGATCGTGACTTAATCTTTACGACCGTTACCACCATATGGAAACCAGGTTTTAGATTAAATTTTCCAGGCCCATTAATAATACTACGCACGTAAAAATGTCACAACTTGTCAACAAGATGTGTTCGCAACAGGCTTGTAGCAAGCTTGTCAACAAGTTGTAACAATGCTGTTATTTTATCAAATTGCTACAAGGTTGTCACTCACAACTTGTTGACAAATTGATGAATTGCAGGACGATAACAAGTTGTTGGAACAACTTGTAACAAGTCTGTTGAGCTCAACAACCTTGTAGAAAATTGCCAATAAGCCTTTGACAATTTGTCAACAAGCTGGGAACAAGCAGTGCGAACACATCCTGTTGACAAGTTGTTGGAACAGCATTGCTACAAGTCTGCTGCAGGTTTGTTTTTACAACTTGTGCGTTTTTACGTGTGTATATAATAATTTAATCAGAACTAAAGATAATATTGACCGTTTAGTAATAATGAAAAATGAGCATGTCTTGAATTAGGGGCGGACCATTGGAAACATGAAGAGTTCGGCCGTTCCAATTTTGTTGCGGAATTTTAAAGGTATTTTTTCTTTGCATTCCTCTTTTCCCGAATTTTTTCCCTTTTGTTCACGTTTGACAACCGCCCCCTCATCACTTTTCTCATGGTCCGTCCCTTTGCATTTTTTCCGTTTGAAATTCAAACCTTGGAATATAGAAAAAAATAACTTACTAATTTCACTAACTAATTTTAAGTCCGCAAACCACACGAGTTCTTCGTGTGCACCGTAGCTTAGGTTAAGCAATCCTAGAATTATTCTTACATGTTCTCAGAATTATCGTACGTGCTGAAAATTACAGACAATGAGAAGAAATTACCAACAATTTAGGGGACTGTCCGTGTAACAATAGTTATTAAACTGAACTGTTTGAAAATTTACGATTGTAAAATAATAAGAAACGGGTTTTTTCCAGATGTAAAGCTATGTTGCCTCTTGTGAATTTTGGATTTACTGGTCAGGGATTACGCAAAAGTCTCCACCAGAATTTTGAAATCTAGTGTCTCTGAAATGGCATTTCCTCCATTCTGGGGAATATTTCAAATGACTACCTCAACTCCACTCACAAGAACTGTTTCTAGCCATGATCGCTGTCAAAAACCGATTTGTCTGCATTTACATAGGCTGTTACCCGCCACGACTCGATAAAGCACGTTTTAAGATATTCTTTTCAACTGAATTTTTAATTTATTCACGTTTCCTTTTAATTTAGATAATTCAATTCGAATATTACATATTCAAACCGCTCAATTTTTGCCGAATGAATGCAACAAATTTTCGACTCGTTCATGAATGTGTATGGGGGGAGGTTCCCCCCCCCCCCGCCCCTGAGGTAAAATTCCGAAATTGTTCACAATAATCCACTCGTAACCTTTCAAGTAAATTTATTAGAAACGCTTATTTACTATATAGCAGAATTTTTTAAGCCTTGGAATTATACGCGAGTTACAGTTTATAAAAGATTATATGTTGTACAGAAATTGAGGACGAGCATGAATTGATGCATGCAATTATACTAGTACCGTAAAACTACATTTCTAAGTGCTAAAATACGAGATGTCTAGAAGATTATATATCAGTGATAAATAGAAGAGTGTAGCATGTTTTTATTCTTGGCGGATTATCATTTCCTCGTCAGTATTTTGACCAGCTCCTGTTAATAAAAAAGCATGGGTTATAAATTCAAGTAGTTTATGAATTCTGACTCCAGTCCTTGCCCCCTGATGACAGTCCCTAACTTATAAAAGCGAGACATAAATCGATGTCTAAAACATAAAATAGAAATTGTGCAGACTATATTCCGACAATGCCCCCATCCGATTTACATTCAAAACTGCCTGTAGACTGCCTATCTTTTTCTTGAAGCCAAATCTTCACCCCCAGACACGCGTTCTTGTTATTAGCGAGCTTAAGATACACCAAATCTGCGATGCGGACTCGACTAAAAAACAGTCGCTAGTAGTTGGAGGCTAGTTTTACTTTGTTTTTCTCATGTCCCTGGCTATTTGTTTCCCAACAGACATCCATAGTTTTTACCCGTGAGGCGAAACTGTGATAATAGCGGCAGTTTTTCGTCACGTCCGCGTCGTAGATTTTGTGTATCGTAAGCTCTCCAATGACACTACCTACACTGACGCAAACAGTTTCAAGATGAACTTACATAATGCCCATGATAATTGCAATGACGATGATCAGTACGATGCCAACGCCCATAATGCCCAACACACCGCTCAACAAATTCCCCACTTCATTCACGTCTTCTTTAGTTGCTAAATATTAGAAGGTAATGAACCTCTGTCAAATTTGGACAGTGGCCCCTCCCCCTAATGAGTTTCAGAGTCGGTATTTGGTAAATTGTGAAGCCCTCCCCACCCCCTCTCCGCGAAGTCAGCAGCCTTGCTTTATCTTGACTTGCTGAAGCTATACTACTGAACAGTTCTCACAAGACTTATATAAGACTACATAACAAAGGTTATTTCGCAGTTTGTGACGGAAACTCATTGGGGTGAAGCCCCCCTTCCCGAGATCAATAGTCTGGCTTATCTTTACCGGGCTTGGCATTCATTTACAAACCACAGTAGCGAGCTAAAACATGTCTAATCAATTTACCTGCTTCACCAGCGACATATTGTAATACCGCACCTGGAATGGAAGAAAATGTCACTCATTAAATCCAGGTGAACGTCGCTTTTCCATCGAGCCTCGCTCTCGATCGTGACTGAATTCTGATTCTTCAATTGTCTTGTGTTGTTGGTGGTATTATGTAAAAATATTTGACTTTTAAATATTTGAGTATTGATGTAGATATTAATACTTGGGAAATTGCAAGATGAAATTCATGATATGATGTCATTAAAATACATTACATTTATAATTCAGTGACCCCGAAATATTGCTCATTATAAGAATCATATTTGCTTGTGGAAGTTTAAGCCTGGTTTCCATATGGTCATAAATAAATCATAAGTATTTTCTAGTTATAATCACTCCGCGTATTTTCAGTTCTAAAATGTTATATTTCGACTGATGAGAAAGATCGTGATACGATCAATCTTCTTGTTCGCTCTCTACTGTATATGAATAATAGTACACCGACGCGTTAGTTTCGATAATACTTACCCAGCAAAGCCAAAACGAGGCAAGCTTGAAGCAGTCGGATATTCATTGTGTCTAAATAGTCTATAAATAGGAGAAACAAATCTCGATTTCAATATTTTTAAATGGCGACATAGCCAAGGCAGTCCAAATATGATTTTTTGGGATTGTGTAATATTTGGATGATTCTACGAAGAAATGTAATATATCTTTATAGTACAAACATCATATTGATCAACTGTTTCCAGATGGATCTCATGCATTAGATTTATTTTGGCAGGGGAAACAAAGGCAAAGCAATTTTTAATTCATCTCATGACAAGGAATTTTTCAGAAATTTTTCCAAAGGCATTATCAAACGTCTTTCTGTTAATGTCAAAGAAATTTCTATTTCGTTCTATATTTTTAATTTACCAAGTGGGAAATCCACTCACACCCTGCTGATAACCACTCCAATTTTCATTGGTTGCTTAGAAACCCCCTTAAAAATATTTTGTCCGTTTTGTATTCAAGACAAAGCAAAGAATTTTTTAGTATTTCTAAACCGACATTATACACGATTTAAAATTGTATTCGTCTACTTTTTATTGGGCACGTTTTATGACTACAGTCTTCAGTATAAACCCATGGTGAAGATCTTCGGACAGTGGCGTTTTAATTCCCATAACCAAGTTCTGTTTGCCAGTCACCGCGCGACTCACAGATTTGCTAAATTTCATTCCTAACAGACTGAAAATTATTGCTTCACTGCATGAATTACCCCCCTTGTTTATTGAGTTCCTCGTTCGTTGGTAAGCGAATTTCCCATGCAACAGGCTATATTGCCAAATTGATAGGGGATCCGAGGTACCTATGATTTAGCGTCCTTATATCCGAGAAGGCTTATCCGAGAATGTCAACTATGTAAATGTAGCTCAGTTTCTCCTCAATTATTTTAAGACCTTGAGTAGAGGTCCGAACAAGGATTGAAACCAATCATTATCCAATCCTATTTTCTCAAGTAAAAATTAGGCAAATCCAGCTGCTATTTTATCCATTTATTAGCGACTCTTACAATTAACTTACTGAATATAACATTATTCTAGTACCTAGATAAATATACTAATTCGTCACTCATGTTATACCAAATTCATGTATCTATGCAGCCCTCATATAGGTAAATATAGATACTATATATAGATTAAGATTGACGTTTATGACGACACACCGCAATTCGCAAATGGCCAACTTCAAACCCCATTTGAAAGTAATTTATACAAGCTTTCGATAGTCGAGTAGCTATTAAATCCATGACTCGATCCGATTTTAACGCACGATTGGTCGACTAACTTCATATGAAACAGCTATAACAGTTGACCACGATTTGAAGTTTGCCGTGTGCCGTAAACATCAGTCTTAATATGAGGTCTCTATTATCGAAGTTTGGGTTTCAAGGCTAAGCACAGTTGACCCAGTATCTGGACTCAGTCGTTATTCTGTATTTTTAAACCATAGAATTCAGTTTGGGTAATGATTGTGTGACTAAATTTAAAATTTGCATCAGTTTTGCATAAATAGAAAATATTTGAGTTCAATTGTTAATGCTAACTGTTTTAAAACATTCTGATACTATATCTTTTCCCGTAATTTCTATTTTCACTCTCTGTACATCTTGATGACTCTGTAAGATCATTTTTATGCCATAACCCCCAACTAGAAAACCTTCAAAATGCCAGCGTTTTATAACGAAACATTGAATCGTTTATTACGCATTACGCCATACAAATTTACTGTTGAAAACCCTCCTTTAAAAAGATTCTCAACCCTATCATATATATGATATCTTTCGCTGAATAATTTGATTTCACTAAGCATTATCAAACAGTTTTTGGTGGTAAACTGGCAGTTATCAAAGTCATAAAATAATCTAAATTCTTTTCATAATATATGTTATGATCTCATTGAGATTTGGTTTAATTCCCTTGATCCCGTAAAAGGTACCAAGGCCTCCTATATGCCGTTGACAACCATTGCAGTCTCGTGAAGCCATCTAAAACCCACCAATTAAAACAAGATTTCTTACCTTATAATATAAAATAAAACTTTGAAGCGATATGAATTCTCACTGCCACGAAGAAAGCGATTTTCACTGACTGTCAAAATGTTGGAATGCTTTTCAGACGACCTGGAGTTATACTGTATTATGTCCTGCGTGATTTGATCTGCTTGAGCGATCGCTTTTCGCGCACTTTTGTCGTGATCGCCTATAATAAATTGTTCAAAGCACAGAGAAGGAAAAGTCTACATTTGTGTCAAAATTCGATGCGAACATTTCTGGGTAGTTTGGATACGCAGGACGATGAATCTGAAACCCGCTATTAGTTTCATATCATAGCTCAAAAACAATGCCAAAAGATTATTGTATATGCTAATGTGTATTGCCGCGCTATAACCTACACAGAAAAGTCTTTGTTTGCCTCTCTATTTAATACGAGTGGCTCTAAAACCCGAGTCTACACTACGCCTTTTGGCTTTTGGGCTCCGAACACCTATAATAACAGCCGCCCTCATGCACAGACATCTACTTCACGACTTTTCTCGTTTTTCATAAAAGGGAAAAAACTGCAAAAAAGGAAGGCTATATATAGGCAGCCTTTACTTTTCGTTGATTTTAACCGACTTTTCTCATTTTTCATAAAGGGCCAAAAAATAGGGAAAAAGGTAAGGCTATAGCCTTTATTTTTCGTCCATTTTTAGCGACTTTTCTCATTTTTCATAAATGGACATAAAACAGCAATGGGCATAAAACAGCCTTTACTTTTCGTCCATTTTTGAAAATGAGGCAAAAACAGCAAAAAAGTAAGGCTATATATAACCTTTACTTTTCGTCCATTTTAGCCGATTTTTCAATTTTTGAAAAGGAGGCAAAAAAACAGAAAAAAGTAGGGCTATACTATATTCGTCCATTTTTACTATTCGTCCATTTTTACCGACTTTTCTCATTTTTCATAAATGCGCACTGAAAAATAGCAAAAAAGTAAGGCTATATAGCCTTTAGTTTTCCTCCATTTTTTGCCGATTTTTCAATTTTTGAAAATGAGACGAAAAAACAGCAAAAAAAGTAAGGCTATAGCCTTTATTTTTCGTCCATTTTTAGCCGATTTTCAATTTTTAAAAATCACGCAAAAGAGAGGAAAAAGAAAGCCTATAGCCTTTATTTTTCGTCCATTTTTAGCCGATTTTCAATTTTTGAAAATCACGCAAAAGACTTAACTTACAAGTTTGAGTGCGTGTCCTCAGCGGCAGGAACCTTGTCCTCAGCGCCAGGAACCTTGTCCTCACCGCCAGGAACCTTGCTCTCACCGCCAGGAACCTTCCTCTCACCGCCAGGAACCTTGTCCTCACCGCCAGGAACCTTGTCCTCACCGCCAGGAACCTTGTCCTCACCGCCAGGAACCTTGTCCTCACCGCCAGGAACCTTGCCCTCACCGCCAGGAACCTTGTCCTCACCGCCAGGAACCTTGTCCTCACCGCCAGGAACCTTGTCCTCGCCGCCAGGAACCTTGTCCTCACCGCCAGGAACCTTGTCCTCTCCGCCAGGAACCTTGTCCTCACCGCTAGAAACCTTGTCCTCA